CCTTGAATGCACTTCGTCTTTATCTTGAGTGCTCTTTTGAACTGCATTTGTGAGAGTCGGTGTGTTCGTGGGAGCATGTGTGTGTGTATGAGGAATTTCAGTGATCTGGGTTACTTTCTTTGGCCAGAAGGCAGATAGTGTGGAGTTTGGGGGGATGGGATTTTTGGGAATGTCTTCCATGTTTCTCCTCACGAGGAGGGAAGTCAGCCATCTGTGCTTAATACTTCACTGATACACTCAAGGCTTTCAGAGAGAGGATAATTATGTCATGAGATCTGAACTAATACACCTTGTTACAGACTCAATATCTTTTATTTGTGCTGCATTTGAGAGAAGCTTGAACTGGAAAAAGTTTGTGCGGAATCATAGAGTAGGGTTATTTTAGTCTTGAAAATGTCACTAGTTTTTTCATTTTTGTCCTTTTTTCAATTTCACAGTTTTCTTTTGTATTTTGTATTATTGTTTTTTTTAGCTTTACCTCACAGATTGTTATATGCACAAAACACTGCAGTATATCACAAAACTGCATCACCTGTATTTACCATTCAAAGTTTTTATTGCACAAATGCACAACTATTCATATTGTATCATTCACATTTATAGTTTCGATTCAGTCTCATTTTTATTTTTATGTTAGTTTCATCTCTAGTTATTCTCCTAGTATTTGCATTTTTTCTAAAATACATGTCAGCTCTGTCATCTTTACCACACACTACCGTTTAAAATTTGGGGTCAGTAAGATTTTTTTTAAATGTTTTTGAAAGAAGCATCCTATACCACCAAGGCTGCATTTATATGATCATAAATACAGTAACAAAACGGACTTGCAGTTAGAAGTTCATTTCTTTCGTCCTAAAGTGGAAGATGGTGTGTAATAATGACTATGGCTGTTATTATGTCAAGTCACTCGATGTGACTTGTTTCCTGTCATTGTAATATGAATCAGGTTGCTGGGGAAAGCAATGTCTTTGACGTTCGCTGATATTGCTGAACGCTTTATTATAGTCAGTTGATTGAACATCATGGCATTCTGCGGTCAAATATTTTTGGAATGAAATTGGCAATCTGCATAGCTGAGCTTGTTTTTATATCTCTTGTATCATATCTCTCTTTAAATACTTCATGACCTTTTTTATGGTAATGTGACCTTTTTTCCCCTTGTCATTTCCACTAAGATAAAAGAAGCCCTGTCTATCACTAGTGCTGATAAAGCAAACATTTTACCAATCTGGCACAACCGTACAGAGGAAAACATGTGATTTTACTGCATTTTAACTTCCATGTTCTATGAGTTTGCAAGACTTTTGCAACAATGGCCGAGCTGCACGCAGCTGCCACATATATCTCATTACTCATTCACTTTACTTCCTCTTGTAGATAAAAGCTCCAGAACAAAAGATAGCCTAATCAACATTCATTTCAAACAAACATTCAGAAGAATCAGCTGTTGTGAAATCAATTTTATTTTGTACTTATATGGAGCTTGATGGCCTTCTACATGGCTATAGTCTAAAGCCAATGTTGAAGCCATCTCTCTTATCTAGCTTGCTCAGTTGAGGGGTGGGTTCCATTCGACAATATGTGTGCTGCGAAGTGGATTTAAAAGGGTATTTCGCCATCTTAGTGAGATTCCAGTTCTGAAGCAGGCTGACAAAGGTTGCAAGTCAACTATCATTACAGGTTAAATGATATCAAAAGACAAATTACATTTATTTTATATTAAACATTGCAATTTATAAAAGTAGATTATGGCATCAAACCTTAAACTCCTTTAAAGGGGGGGTTGACTGCTTTTTTTCTGAGATTGTCTTTATGGGGTGCAATATAACATGTATTCGTGGTTTTTCTTTTTTAAAAAGTCTTAAGGCTTGTTCGACTTCATGCAGCTCTGCGCAGACCGATCGGCGGCTGACTTGAAACAGTGCATGCCGGTTAGAAATTTTGTCCGACTTGATGCAGCGCTGACTCCACGTGACTGTGATGTATGCCATCAAAGTACCGCGAGAGCGATACGAGTGTAGCCGGAGGACTCAGCCAGCGCAGCTTCTCAAGAGCGGCTGCACGAGCTCTGATGATGTCACAGCTGTTCCACGATTCGCCGGATTCACCGCATGACAACGATCACGTGCGTTTCGTGTTTATTCTCACACCTTTAGTTCCACTAAAGCTAACAAATCAGTATTTTATAACAGTAAACACTCTTTTCATGTAGTCGCAATGTTATATTGTGTCATGTTTATCATGTTTATCAAAATAAAACTAATTAAAAAACGTTGATTCCACGTCATTGATTATAGGCTTATTTTGAACTTTATACTAGTTCAAACAGATGCTGTATGAAGCAGTAAAGTATTGAATGAAAATGTGTCTGAAATATCTGTTTATTTGGCAAATATTGCATTTATTTCACTTCAGCTGTGGTATAAGCATGCAAACACCACGTGAGCCGTCACTACGGGAACCAGAAATTGTCCGACTTCACGTCTCCGTTTGCAGCTCCTCCCCGCCTGCACGCGGCTGTTCTCGCCGATCGGTTGCATCCAGCCGCAGGCGATGTCGAACACACCTTTATTTTCCATAAACTTCACGTTTATTGTCAGCCGCGCTCTCCTCTGTCCTCGAACGAGCAGACAGTCTATGAAACGACTCCCTCAGAAACACGCTGTGGGCTCAGATTGGTCAAACAGAACCTCACCACACACGGCTCTTACTAAACGTTTCTGAATGATAATTTGCTACATTTTTTAACTTTATACACGTTTCTTTAACACAATAGCATCTGACTGGCAACAATAGCAACTGATTGGCTACTAATGTTATACTCAAACAGCGTTGGCAAGTTTACATTCTTGATCAAATCGAAAATAACGTCATAAAGCATATACATGAAAAATACGTTTAAAGCATTAGTACTTATACAAAATTCAGGTCCATAATGTTTGTACGCGTTTGTCGTAGACACAAAATAGCATAACTAGTAGCCTAGTGGCTATGAAGTCAGCACTGGGATTTGAAAAAAAATAAAACATAAGGCTTTGTCTGGAATTATACATGCAAATACATTTAAAATGATGAAGTCTTAGCCTACTTACAGGTTGTGGCCCAACAACTGCTGCCTCTGGTTTTAAAGTTGGAACTGCTTCATGTTTTAGTAACAGTTTCTTGTTGAATCCGGTGTTGAATTCGTGGAGATTCTGGAAGCTGTCTTCCGTAAAATACGCAGCACAGAGAGCTAGATTACGATCATCATTTTCTGGAACATAATCAAACATAAATTGTATCCATTGTTGACGAAGTACAGCGTCCGTGGGAAGCTCGAACACAGAAGACCTGACAGCTGGGTGAACATAACACACTCGACGAGCCGCAGAAATATGATCATGCCCTTTTTTGCATATTCCGGAGGGAGGGGTTGATGTAAATGTGTGGGTTAGCGTCGTGTGACGTCTAAAACCCAGCTGTAGTCCCAATTGATTTGTTTTTGTAGGCAATATACTTCCTGATTTTTAAAAGACGATATCTCTGCTTACACTGAACTTTCAGCGCTGCAACTTTGCAGATACTGTTCATGCACCAACAGCAACATTACACACTATTTAAAATGAAAAAAGTGAAATCGCAATCAACCCCCACTTTAATATGCTCATTGCAGGGTGGGTGTTGTGAATGAACGTATTTTGTGAAGTGAACTTTAACAGATATCCCATTCTCAGGGAGTAGGCAGCATTGAACACTGTGTAGGGACCCTGTCAGCCGGGGCGCACCGCAGGTCATGGTGCTCTTTGCTAAAGAGCTGATGGTCTGAATCGTTAACTCCAACTCTCCCACCATCTAGCTTTAAAAGAAATTACAAGGATTCGTCACTCTGGGTCACAAGACCACAAACTATTAAATTACTTCCTTGAAGTCTCTAATGGACATTTGGAGGGGCCCTTCGTGAAGGGATTCAGTTGTTCACTTTCATTTGGGCTGGAATTGGGAACACGTGACCAGATTCATCTCATCAGCTCATTAGTACAGACTACAAGACTACAAGAATTGGGTGTGTCTGATGAGGGAGACATCAAAAATGTGCTTTGGTGGGGGTCCCCAGGACAGGTTTGAGAATCACTAGTCTAAACCAAAGGCATAGCCCAAATTCACAAGAAATTGCTGAAGTAAACAATCTGAATTGAAATAAGCAGCAAATTACAATCAATAGAAACACAATAGAACAAAGTTATATATTGCGCTTAAGTTTTTCATGTAGGTCTGTTAAAGTAAGAAATACAACAAATATAAATACATAAAAATAATTACACACAGCACACATACATACATTATGTAAACACAAAGTTTTATATTGGATGCGATTAATCACAACTAATCTTTGCACAGACTTAATATATATATTCAATATGCTGCTGTCACTTTAATAAGGCAGTATGCACAGATCCAGTATAATGACACATACATTTTATATTGATACGGTTGATTTTGTCTCAACAGACGGTTTACGTGAATACTCACCAAGGCAGACATTTCAAATGCAATAAGCCACACAAAAGAACTTCATTTGAGTTCTCACACATTGAGGCGACTTTCAGACCTGCCGTTGGCATACCAGTACCGGATTCAGTATTTCTTGCATGGTTTGTTGTGCTTTTAATAACTTATGAAGTCCATTCCACTCTTAACTTTCTCTTTCACTGATGTTTTATTTACGCTCTAACGTATATGTTTACTCCTCACCTCCTTTGACGTGCTCTTGCACCTCCCCACACCTTGAAAACCCATACATTCGCCTATGATTTATACATCAAAATAGTAGCCTGATAATTATATCATAAAAGTGATATCCTGGTCATACCATATTGCTCTTTTCAAAACATGTTTTTACAACAGCCACATCCATGCAGAAGAACAGACAAGTCTAACCTCTGGAGCTATTCGTCATAACTTCTCTCTTGACTGAATCTGAGTTATTATTTAGTCTCATCCTGGTTCTGCTTTCTCCACAGGTGCTCTGACGAAGGTGAAGGAAAGCCAGAAGCACGTAGAGGAAGGGAAGATGGAAAGCCTGCATGCGGACGGCATCAGGGAACGCTGCAACATCATCTCTTTCGCCACGCTGGCTGAAATCCAGCACTTCCACCAGACTCGAGTGCGGGACTTCAAGTCCCAGATGCAGCATTACCTCCAGCAGCAGATCAGCTTCTTCCAGAAGATCACAGGCAAGCTAGAGGAGGCGCTTCAGAAGTATGACGATGCATAAATGAACCACATTTCAATTGGACTGACAGAGCTTTACCTTGCCCAGACAAGAGTCTGGTGAGGGTTAGCCAGCCCCTAGCAATATATGACAAACCAAGAGTCTAAGATTTATGAAATCTATCCCCATACAATGAGTGTTCATTAGAAGGAACTGAACTTTTTTGGGGAAAGCATTTAGTGAGATGGCGATAAACGTCTAGTCTGGACTGTGTTTTCCTATGTGAAACTGCTGAGGAGGACAGAAACACAGAGAACATGGAATATCTTTGATCCTGCTACTAATGTCATATTTTAAACAGTGTTCTTCACACAGACGAATTAAATGTTAATATGACTTGAGGGGTTTGTGTGGCTCCTCTCTGCCACCTTTTAAACACTCGAGACCCTCTTAGCCGTTCTTAGATGTTTACATACCCTACAGAGCCGCTGTCATCACTGTTGTGCCTTTCTATCTCGTCTTGTTGGTATTTTTATAATTTCTTAAAAAGAACTATATATATTATTCTTATTCTGAAAATTGTTTTTACAAGGTTTGATGTTATTATCTTAATTATGTTATCTTAAAAGTCACCCCTGCTTAAAATGGCAGGACGAAGGAGTAGCAGGCTCATGTTTGGGAGTAGCTTGTCGCAATGCTCTAATTGGTTATCCCATCTGATTTGCCCCCAGAACAGAATGTCAGAATGTGCATTTGGGGGAAAACCATAGTCGTAGACAATTGAGCAGGCAGGCACATACATTTCTTTCTTTTTTTTTTTTTTTTCTTTTTTTTCTTTTCTCAAATGTGATGTAAGCAGGAAGCACAGCACACTCAGGATAACATGAGTTCATTTTGGACCTTTCTGCCTACCAGTTTTTTGGCTTATGACATTTCTCAAAACTTACAGTCAGAGAATACAGCTTATTTTCTACTCCAGATTTCTACTTATGAACCACACCTAGATGTTCTGAAATATTGAAGAAGATTACAAATAAATTGTTCACCTAATTGCTTGTTGCATTGTATATATTTTGTATTTTGAGGTAGGCACATTCAAACACCACATGAACATATTTTGATCGACTAAAAGTAGTTTCTAAATAATCAATGGCAACAAGATGTCTGTTTGCTGTTACTTGTCTTGATCATATCATGTGCAGGCATTGTGAAAAGGAGAACAGATGCAAATAGAAACACAAAACGGGTTTCTTAAAAGGGCTGCACGATATTGAAGTAAAATGCGATATTGGATATGCAATACAAAACTGCTTTGTGTAAAATCATCTTTGATTTATATATTTAAAAACTGAAAATGATATAACCAATAAATGTTTCATGTTCTTTTCCTGAAAAGAAAGCATCACTACAACTTTTGAAAATGAACAGCATTTTAGCATTACATAAAAGGTAGTGTCACAAATTAAAAATATCATTTTAACATCAAACAAACAAAAAAAAGCTGTTTAAAACCAGCAACTCTGAATCAACCTGAATCCTTAACATCAAGAACATCCAGGTAAACGTAAACGCATAACTAAACTGGGGTGGACGATTTGTTTTTTTTATTATCTTAGTTATTAAAAATAAGAACAAAGAGGTTTGCAAAATTATGAACAACAGGGCAAATACAATAAAACAAAGATACAAATTAAATAAACAGTGCTTTAAATTTTTCAGGTTGGCCAACATATTATTACATAAGTAAGAAACAATACAGGAAATGCATAATCAAATGTAAAAATAAAACACTGCAGTATTCAAATGAATTAAACATACACTGATTCATATTGAAGCTATAAAATGTCCTCATTTAAGAGCAGTAAGTGATTTCTTTTCTTTTTTTTTTCTTTTGTTGTTTGACAGACAGCAGAAGGTATACTGTATTAGGCTCCTGTCACTTTAAGACCTAATGATCCAATTGACACGCATCGGATTTCTTTCCCATTTGTTTACATTCACTTAATGCAGACTGTGTTTGCATGAATACTCGCCCAGACAGGCATTATGACATAACTGTGCCGATTCAACTGCAATAAGCCAATAAGAGAACTGAATTTGCCATCACTGTGCGAGCATTTCAATTGTGCTTCAGTCTTGACCTAAAACTGACTTTAAGCAACATTTTGAAGTACCCTATTAAAATCATTCAGATATCCCATATGCATATTGCAATATATTGTGCAGCCCTAATTCATTTGCAATCTTTACATTTGTTGTTTTCTTTTCCCTTTTTTTTTCAGTATATCTAGCCGATATTGATTCAGTTTTACAACTATAAGTGTTGTGCTGAAGGGAAGAGGAAACCTTTTAAGCGTCTTGTAACTAGTGTTGAAGCATGAAAAATGTGAAAGTGGATGCAGATGTTTATTTGTCAACACTTGTGAAATATATCAACCCTATATTTTCACATTGTACATGATAATAACAAAGACACTTGTGATTGTTAGTTTGCATCAGCAATAAAAACACTTCAAATCTTGTTTACCACAACAAACACCTGTTATGTCCTAAGAAAAATCTTTTACCAACATTGTTTACAATCTCTATAGGATATGGGTATTTCATGAACTTTCAAGAAACGACTACTTTTAAAACTAGTTAAAAAAAATGTAAACAAAATCTTTTTACTCCTTATATTATGCAGGCTATATTTAGGACCTAATAGTCATTAAGCAAATATACTGTATGTTGAGTTCATTTAAATGTATAAATAAAAATGATTGACAAAACATTATTTCATATTTATAATTTAATATAAAATATACTTATTATTACATGTATAAAGAAATGTGAACCTAAAATCTAAGGTTCTGGACATTATTTATCGTACTCTACCCATTTTAAACTTAAGTCAGTGTAACAATACGTATGGGGATTGCTGAGAGTCAACAGTGATTTTTTCCGTTTGTGTTGTGGGTGATGAGAGGAGTGTTCACTGTGAAAGGTGACAAATGCCTTTTTCAAGGCCAAAGCCGTGGGAACGCAGCCTGTTTGCCAGACCTGCTTGCTCTTCTAGTTGGCCCGGGCACAGCCGCTTTCCTCAGCGCTGGCTGTAAACACTGAAGCGCACTCTGCTTTCAGCGGGACGGGTCTCCGGGAGGTGTGCCAAACAAGTCTCCTACTGCCAACCATGGGCTATCCTGTCTCAAAGTCCTCACTTTATTGAAGATTTTTTAAATTTCCAAGATAAAACAGTATATTGATTCAAATTGTGCAGAAACATAAAACTTCCTGCTTTGCTTTGTTTTAAAATACTATAATTTCAGCTTTTTAAAACACAAGGATGTGATGCTTATAGGAGGGAAATAACTGTTGATGAAGTGACTAATGTTGAGGTCATTTAATGCGATTTTATCTTTTTCTGCCATGGGTTTTATTTTCCTACCAGTCCAAGCTCAGACACCATTTGTATCATACAATCTCTCTGTCTTTTCCTGTTGCATCATCTTTGTGTAATTGTGTTAACATGTGACTATGCTGTAATGCTTTGCACAACAAGTATCTCACAAAGGTGAGTACACCCCTCACATTTCAGCCAACATTTTAATATAGCTTATTAAGGGACAATACTATAGAAATGAAACTTGGATAGATTTGTGTGTATCCACTCTGCAACTCAGTTTCAGGATGTTACCAATCTTCTTATACCCTAGATGATAATTGTGGAGCACCAATTCTAATTCTCAAATCCTTCTTTGCCATGAGGTGCCATGTTGAACATCCAGTGGTTAGTTTGAGAGAATTGTACTCAAAGCACAAATTTTAACTGCTCTAATACAAGATACACAAATTTGTATGGTCCTGTCAAGCAGACAAAAACATGAACGTAATGAATAGGACATGTGGCTTTGCATGGTTAAACTACGTACTGCTATTATCACTTAGGGTGTACTCACTTTTGTTGCAGCTGTTTTGACAATAATGGCTGTATGTTGAGATATTTTCAGAGGACAGTAAATATATAGTGCTATACAAGCAGCACATTGAATACATACAAATCTATCCAAGTTTCATTTCTATAGTATTGACCCTTAAGGAGATTATACTAAAATGTTTGCTGAAATGTGAGGGCTGTACTCACCATTGTGAGATTTTATATATATATATATATATATATATATATATATATATATATATATTAGTGCTGTCAAATCAATTAATCGCATATAACATCAAAGTTTGTGTTTATATAATGTGTATTATTTTATATATATATATATATATATATATATATATATAATTTATGCCTGTGTGTGTATATATATTCATACCCATACAAGTAGACCAAAATTTATTGAGACACCTTCAACATTTCTCACATTATCACAGTTTATTCGCTATAGATTAGAAAATGCTATTAAAATATGATAAGAACTCAAGAGTTATCAAATCATTTTTTAAATTTAATTACACAATTAGATAATACCCATTTAGGTCAACCGATTACAAAGCAATGCTTGATGTTGTTCAGTTTGGGTGGTGTAAAAAGGTCGTATTAGCACATAAAGAAAAAACACTCAAGCAAAACATAGTAAAGGTCAAAGTGTCTGAATAAATTTTGGTCCCATTTTATTTATTTTTTATCAATTTTTTGGTAGTCCACTTTATTTTTGGGTATAATATATCAAAGTTTACTATCCTCACTTAACTTAAATGAACAGTTTCCTGCACCAACTAATATATATATATATATATATATATATATATATACTATATGTGTACTGTATATACTGTATAAGGCTATGAATATGTATATAAATATGTAATATGTATATATAAATATAAGAATATGTATACATATAAACAAAAACTTTTATGTTAGAAATGATAAATCGTTTTGACAGCACTAATATATACACATATTAAACACTTGCCACAGAACACATTTGAGAGGCATGCAGTGCTGTAGGTGCCAGAATACTAAACGCTGACTTTAAACGGCTTCACAGGAAATGCATTCCAGATGTTTGCAACTGCAGGAACACAAGTTCCTCCCAAAGGAACTTATTGAGGGTTGATATCACAATATGGTATCAGATTTAAAGAATACTTACCACGTTCACTTGAAATTCTATCTAATGAAATATAAATAATTGCGAAATATATTAAGGAATCATGATAATAAAAAAAATAATAATTAAGATTTTTATTCAGGAACCTCTGTGACCAGGGCAGTCATAAAACTCATGTGATGAGAGTGAGTTTTCGCCAGTTCATAACTAAATTGGAGTCCTGAGATCCTTTAACGTATTAAAGTCAATTTCAGTTTCACCCTCTTGAGGAATGCCCCTGCAACGAGTCAGAAGGAAAACATCTGAAAACAAAATTAAAATTCCTCCCTAATAATTGAAGAATGTTAAACACAGTGCAGCTTGACATTACATCTCATAGCACCTTATTGTGTAAGTCTAACTAGCAAATTGCTTTCTAATGCCAGACTTTATCAAATCCTATTTGAGAAACACAAATGCAGTGAATATTTGTCCTTGTAACATGGTTGATATATGTTTATCATTTTCCCTCAAGGACATGAATATCTTGATAATGCCTACTGCACTTAGTAATCAGTGTTTTGGTCAGTATATAATTCGGAGTCCTGATATTCTCTCACGTATTAAAATCAATTTTTAGATCCAACTTTTTGATGAGGAATTATTTATTGTAAAGGAATATAATCTTAGGGAAGATTAAATATATAAGCTGCATTTTCAGCATTATTGTCTCATGATCCTTCAGAAATCATTCTAATTTGCTGATTTGGGGCTCAAGATAAATTTATTATTATCAATGTTGAAAAAACATAGTCTGTAATGCTTTTTTCAGTTTTCTTGGTAACACTTTACAATAATCCCTCATTTGTTTACATTAGTTAAAACTAATAATGTTCTATACATGTATAAACTACATGTATTACTGTATTTAATAACATTTGTTAATGTTATTAATACAGTCGTTCATTGTTTGTTAGTAGCTCACAAAATGTTTACAAATATAACTTTTGATTATAATAATAAACATTAAGATTAAAATATTCTGAATTATTCTTCATTCTTAGTTTTTGTTAACTAAAGTTAATTAATATCAACTAATGAAACATTATTGTAAAGTGTTCTGTGATGAATACAAAAGTACAAAAGCATTCATTAAGAGCACAGCATTTATTTGAAATAGAAATATTCTTGCTGAATAGAATTTTTTACATTTCTTCGGTTTGCTCATGCGCAGGAAGTGATCCCTTGCGTGTGTGTCACTCATTGTTTACACAGAGATTTCTGAAGTTTTACCTTTCACAAAGCATATTTAGATATATCGAAATCATCTTCCATTGTGATTTCCTGTATGTCTAAATATGTTTAGATCTTCACAGCGAAAGGTAAAGCTTCCGAAATCTCTGTGTAAACACTGAGTGATGTACACACGCAAGTGATCACTTCCGGCGCGTGCGCAGACCAAGGCGCCTGTGCCTTCAGATCAGTTGGACGTGGCTGTGATTACACGAGGTAAAAACGATATAAATACTGTTTGTTTTCACACACAAATCACTCGTTTTGTGTCTTAGGCCATCAACGTGTACTTACATTTACGAGTCATTAAATCATGTTTAATTTTGACTTGTCTGTGCATGCTCTTCGAGGTGGACCAAGGGAGGACCCCCTAAACCTGCATTATATGACTGATAGACAACAACGGTTTGACCAAAAAATGTCAAAATTGAAAATACAGTGGAAACAAAGACACCTACATCTTGGATGCCCTTGAGGTAAGCTAAAACATATCAAAAATTAATTTCAAAGTGAACTATCCCTTTAAGCTAATCAAAATTGCAAGCTCATTTTACTACATTTCACTGACAAGATGTGCTGATGATCTTAAATTATGCAGGAGTTAGCTGACATGCTGCTGTATTTATTGGTCAATTGCAAGCTGTGCAGACCTGAGCAGTGCCAGGAACTTCTGTTTCCAATCAATCCCAGGACTTTGATGCACACTTGACCTGCTAGGGGGATGTGGACTGCACTCCATTCTTATAGCCTACAGGTTGGACATTACTGGAAACCCCTGGAAAAACACTCCCCTAAGAGCTGCATGACAGCACATTCCAGTGTTTGACGTTCATATCCTTGGTTTTGACCATAGAAATTCCCAGAAAGCCATACCACAGTCTGATGAGGTTATACTGTAAAATACATCTGTTATACATCATAAGACAAACTAGTGGTCACAGAGAGTGTGGTGACATCCTCCTTTTCATTTAACCCACACAGTACAGATAATTTACTTTCATTATATGGGTAAAACACATTCCTCCTTATATATTCTTTTCTATTCCACAGAAGATAATACAGAATGATGACATCATTTTTTTAGTGCAGGCGTTCTAAACAATAAAGTCACCATGAAATAAAAATGGACAATTCTTTCAATAGAATATTGCCGTATTTATTATAAATTAGTTATTTGTGTTCATCATTATTTTCAACTTAATCTTTAATCAAATTAGCTTCCTCTCTTGAAAAGGCATCTCTTCTCTGATGACATGTTTATTGGTGTGACAGCGGTGGCATCTATCACTCACATGACATCACAGCAATAGCAAACCACAAAACACCATGGACAAAACAAATCTCACCCTACATTTTGTCGTATTCGAGAATCCATTCACCCAGATATACGTCACAATAAGGAAGAAAAGACTATCGCAGCTTCTGTTTCTTTCACATCAATAAGGAATTTGAGGAACACTTTATTTACAGTGATATTGTTACATATGTTACATTACCATAGTAATAACAGTAAAGTAAGCTTAATGGCATGCAACTAACCCTCAACCAAACCCTAATCCTACCCTAACCCTATAAATACATGTAGTTGCTCAATATTACTCAGTACTTGAATAATATAATAACACTGACAGCCTAAAATAAAGTCTAACTGGAATGTGTAACTTCTGCTATTACAAACTTCACTGTTGCTTGTGATTCATCCAAAAAAAATATATATATCACAAAAAATGAGTAAAGGTTGAAACAAGTCACAAGACCCTGATAGGGCTGCACCATGTCTCTGTGTTGTGAATCACCCATACATCAAACACCTTTAAATGACAAATATCAGTATGTAAGTATATATACCTTATGCCTCTGAATCCTGCTTACCTACACTCATATCAATATCAAATTTATTTCTAGAACACAGTTCCAGTGAGAATGTGAGATTGAATAAGCGCACTTAATAGCTTCCACACTGGTTTCGGACACCCAAAACTCAAAATTTAGAAGACAAAACCCAAAATTGAAAAATGAAAATCAGACAGACATTGTATTGTGGTTGAAAATAAAAATCGTGTTGACATCAATTTGTTATCGGGTTCTGACGTCAACACAACTTTAATTTCCAACCAAAATCCAACCCCTGCAAATCATCCCCTGATTGACATTACAACTTTCTACACAAGGACCTTGACAAAAATGTAGTGGAGTAAAAAGATATTTGTCTTTCAAATGTAGTGAAGTTAAAGTAAAATGCTTGCAGAAAAAATAATACTCAAAGTGAAGTACAGATACTCAAAAGTACAGTACTCAAGTAGGCTAAATGTTAGTTACTGTCCACCTCTGTTGCAAATGTTATACATATTGGTGATCCAGCATTTAAAAAATAGAGGAACTGTTACTGTGTATTCAGACAAAAAAATAAATAAATAAATAATAATAATAATAATAATATATATATATTGCAGAAAAACACTCATCAAGGAATAACATTCCTTTCATGCATTCCGTTCATTCACTCACATTCATTTAAGATCTTAGTGACACTTAGATCTCAGTGATCTTAGTGACAAATGTCCAAGATTACCCTGATTAACCCTCAATTTCCATCAACCTGAATCTCTGGAATAAGAAATTAGGTATGGGTTCAGGAAAGGTTCAAAATTGCAGTAAAACTTTAATGTTTGTCCAAAGGCGTGTTCATCTCTAGAATAAAGCATGTATTCTTCTTCTTCATCAGTAAACTCATTTACTGTAAGTGAATGTTAAGGGTGTTCTCAACAGTAGGCTAATGATATCCAACTGTGAAATTCTGTCTTCAAATGTAACATTTCACATATATACTACATTTAGACTCAGTTTACTAAGGCCCTATTTGGGTGTTTTTGAGCATTAGATTGCCGAGAACTGATTGTAGGACACGCTCGAGTCAATCCAAAATTATTTAGGAGAATTGGTTTCCCCTTTGTATTTTTATAAATTAATGTTTTTTCACATGCAAGTAGGCCTACTGCTTACTTAAATAGATTGGTAATAGCTATATTAAGGTCTAATTTTAAGTCCCCTGTAGTCAATAATTATATCCCTTAAATACATCTTTAAATACTCATCTTTGATCACCAAAATAACATATTTCAAAGTTTTTTCCTTTAAAAAAAAATGCCTTAAAATAGCTTGAATGAAACTCTACACCCTTGCCTTAGTATATGCGGTTCTATTAATATGCAAATTAGACCTGCCCACTTGTTGACGATCACACATGACGTGATTGGTTACATCAAACATTAGTTAGTTTGTCAGAAGTTCATGTCAGAAACACCAGCGATTTTAAATAGCCAATGGGCTTTAGTTACATCACAGACATGATTTGATGCTTGTCAGTTGGTTACAAGTGAGTAGGATATTCTTACATTTGATTGGATAAAAATGCGCAGTGAAGGACGTCATCATTATTTTCCACAAATTTACCTGGACTATAAATTTCAAATCTGAAAACTTGCTAGAATTGACAAATAAACATTTGAAAGTACACCAACAAAGATCAAATCAGATGCTGGGGCTCAGAAATATCTTACCTTAAACACTCTTATTGGTATGATTCATCACGGATGACATGAAATCAAATTAAGAATTCAGAGAGTGCCTCCTCTGTTGCTGGGCAGCGCTTTATGATCTGGAGGGCTTAAACCCATTATGTTTCCATCTCTTGGGACCCTCTTTAACAAGTCATGAGTCACTAGAGCCAAATGCAAACATAATCAGCTCATTTTCTAGTGATCTGGAATTACAGCAATTAGCCTTTCCACCAAGGAAAAGTAGGAAAAAGCAGTACAGATAATAGTTTCTACACAATGGGGTTCATTAAGAGGGCTGGCCTTTTGTTCTTTGATATGAGCATATTCACTGAAATGCAATATATAAAGAGATAATTTTACTTAATTATAAAGCTATTGTTCTGTCAAACCTTTTCAATGACTCAATGAATAGTAGTTTTGAAGTTGATTTGTCATGCATTGGCATCTTGTTTGGACTGAATTAAATCACAGAATAAGCGACTGTCAATGTTACTTATCAGCCATTTTCTGATGCACATCAAGTGTGAATCATCCTGGCACTGATATTCTTAACTGAACCAGTTTCACAGTGTCACGTTTGTATAAAGTCAGCACATTGCAGGGTTCACGTTTGGCAGACTCAGTGGATTGTCACCAGCTTGCATTGTTTGTAATACAAACCAGTTGCAACAATAGGATCTAATATTCCATCACACTCATGCTGCTCATGACAGAGAATATTTTATTCTTATTGTATTTATTATTAGGATAGTATACTACAATAATAGTGAATTTTATTCATATATATATATATATATATATATATATATATATAACCACAAGCACACTCTGAGATTTTTACCAAATGAGCTCTCAGCATGTATCTGGAAAGTGGTTGAAAAAAAAAAAAAAAAACACTTTTAGCACCTATTAACTGAAATCACAGTAATTAAATACGAGGAATGACGTATCATAGCAATTACATCTCCAGAGGCACCTCACTGTTTTTAATCTTTGTGTGCCTTCTATTCACATCCAAAAGAAGAGTAGCTCTAGTGTACAAGGCAAAAAGTCCCAATATCCATCTAAATGAGTCAAGGTCTATATTGATATAGTGAATTAAAATGCTTTATGAAGTACTACTGCTTAAGAGCTGAACAGGAGTCAAAACAGGAGTGGATTGCAAAACATGTTCCATTTATTGACAGAACAATTCAGTGTATCAGACAAATCACTCATAAATGAGGAAAAATATACAGTGACAAATATACATTTGCTGAAGGACGGAACCTTGTAAATAGAATGGATTTAGTTTCAGCTTGCGGGTTGTTTGAAATCCACATTGGCATTTTTTGTACAATACATTGGGCATAAAAATGCTACAGCATAATTAAAAGATGACGTATGGTATTACTTCTAAGAGGACGTTCCTGAGAATACAAAAACATTTAGGCTACATAAATATTCAATTACGACAATTACGACAGTAAAACATACCAAAAATATACATAGTAGTGTTGTTGAAGTGTGCACACCACACCTATATTTTCTCAGTGCTGGAATATATGTCATAATATTTCAGAAATTCTAAAATCATTAATAAATATCCTTACAGCTTTAAATAGTTTCAGTATACAAAACATAGTAACACATAATGTTATCCCATTGAAATGAATTCAGTGTAATACATAGTTTTTTTATATTGTTATTTGAGGTAGACACAAAAATTACTCTGAAAACACCCAGAATCACTTGTGTCTTCACAAATGTCTTTGAATATAGTATATACTTTTTCAAATACTTAAGTTTGTCAATGAGGATTCAAAATCATTTCGCACAAATTCACACTATTTTCTAAATGATTCATCCACGTATACGTTTCATTTTTGTTTTGAGGTTGTAATTTTAAAAAAAAACATGTCATAACTCGATCTTCTGGTGAAAGGACACTTCTCTTTGGTGGCACATGTTGGACTTCTCCAATCACTTCAACCACTTAAACCCTGCCGCTTTCCTAAAATTTGACCACAAACTTGTGTTCAGATCTGCTTCCATCTAATCAACAACAGATGCACAATACAGAAGAATATATCTGTCTCCCAAATTTTCATCTGGATGTTTTCCTCTCTAGTTTTTAAGTTCTTGGGAAAATGCTGATCATGAACAATACTTGCAAACATCAAGGCTGCAAGTACATGTATACGCAAAAACCAAATAGATAATTGAGTCTTGTGGGGCCACATAACTAGAAAATGTAATGTTTCAATCACATTTCAGTCAGTGATTATCAGAGATTACAGAGATGAATCTGAAGGTCATACCCAGTACTGATTGTTTCGCAGGGTGGGGTTGGTGGTCCTGCAAAGCTGTGAAACTTCAGGCTCTAGGTCTTCAATAGAGCACAGAGACACAGATTGCCCATAATAGGAGTCTTTAATTCCAGGTTGAAGTCTAGTTATGGCTGAACTTCCAGCGTTTCTTGGAGTAAGAGGAGTGACGGTTACAATGGGGACAGTTGCAGGCCACTGTAGCTGGTCTTGATGGGACGAGTTGTTCGGTTGAGCTGGAGGACCTGATGTACTCTTTAAAGGCTTTGGTTTCTTTCTCCAGTTCCTTCTTAAGAGCAGCACTGACACGACCACAATGATGACCAGAAGCAGAAGAGCAAGAAGGGGCAAAAGGATGATCATTGAATTTGAGGAGAAGCCCGTCTGGGAAACTGACTCTACTTTCACTGGGTTATTATTTATGGGATAAATCTCCTCCACCCCATGGGCTGGTTTCAGGTTGGTCGTACCCATGTCATTGCCGTTTGAAATACCCCAACGGTTGCGACCTTTGAATCTTGACCCAGATTTGGTCACCTGTTGCGTCGTACGCACCAGTGGAAGTGTTGAGGTTGGAAACAAACTAATTTCAGCGGTTTGGTTACGAAAAACAGGTCTGAGTGTGGACATTGGGATCATCGTTGACATCTCCAGAGTGGGAACATGAGGTACGATCCTGAAAGCGAAAATCCCAGTGGCAGGTTGGACGTTTTCGGCTTTAAGCACAAATCCGAAAGAGTCATTTACTTCATGGACGCCCGTCAGGTTTGCCTTTAACTCGATGGAGAGTTTATCTTGCTGTAGTTCACTAAAAGTGAAAAATCTCACAGATTCGGCTTTTCTTCCCTTGCCCACCCTGACAATCCTGCCATTCTGAGGTGGTGATGTTATTTCAAATGATGGGTCATTAGCACTCAACAAAGCCAGTTCAGACACATTTAGCAAATGTGGCTTCAGTTTAATTCGAATTCCGTTTGGAAACGTTGCCCCTTCTGTGTACTTAATGAGAGGTTTCACGGTGATATTAACTACTTGGTTAGTTAGGTTCGCTTCTGTTGTGAAGGCCGCAAACTCAAAGTTATCATGGGACGACTCAAGGTTGACCATGTGATATCTTAGCTTTCCCGTCTGGAGATCATCTTGACTGAAAACAGTGACGTCCTCATTATTCAGTAGGAGTTTACCGTACTGTGGCGGTACTGTGACTTTATAGTGCACTGTATTGTTTTTACCATTGGTCACTGCGGCGAGGTGTGACTGTGTGAGTGTTACAGAAGTGTGTCCCTGGTCCAGTAGCACCTCTGTGTTGTTAACAAGCAAAACAGTGATTTCTATGACTTCCAGATTGAACAATTTATATAATGGACGATGATGGCCGTCGGTGACGCTGAAGTAGAACGCTCCAGATAAAGGACTGCCATCGTGAACAAAGAACACCTCTCCATTATTGATCTGAGCCTGAGAGAAGGAGTCCACGGACTCATTCAAGTGCTCTGCAATGGCTAGGAATCCATTGGTAGGTTTGCTTATCACAGTGTATTGGATTTCAGATGGTGGGTTATCCAGGTCAACCACCCTTAAGTTGTTGGGTCCGATAGCTATGGTGTCCCCCTGTACAACTTTGAGGCTGGGGGTTTTGGTCTGTAGAACAGGTGGTTGATCATTTCTGGGGATTATAGTGATGTTGAATGTTTCTGACACGACCTCTGTATCTAGGGTGCGGGGTGGTGGTTTGCTCTTTAGGTTGAGATACACATCAAAGTCAAAATGGTCATGGGTGGTCTCGGAGTTGTCGTGATGGTATGTGATTCCGTACTTATTCAGAATGAACTGAGAAAAATTGGGCTTTTCTTTTGTAAGATTTCGTTCCCCAACGACGATGACACCATGCTGTGGGAGAGATGTGACCTGGTACCAAACCTCATAAGAACTGCGCTTAGATTCAGGTTGTTTAGTTATAAGATTGGATGCGTCCAGCATTGATTTGTCAATTAGCACTTTATCTCCTTCAGATACCTCCACACCTGAAAAAAAGCCATGACATTTCAGTTAGAAGGTCAGATTTAGAGTATACGTCTTGACAATTGCTAGGATATTAATATTTAATTCATCATTTATATTTAATAATAACAATAAAATGTTTCTTGAGCTCCAAATCAGATCATATTAGAATGATTTCATAAAGCATCACTGAAGACTGGAGTAATGATGCTGAAAAGTCAGCTTTGCTATCATAGGAATATCATAGAAATTACATTTTAAAATATATTAAAATAGAAATATAATTGAAAATAGTTATTTTATTTCACAATATTCTGTATTCTTGATCAAATAAATCAAGAATCAGCATTGGTGAGCTGAAGAGACTTCTTTCAAAACACATACACTGAATATATATTATTTTTTACTGACCCCAGACCTTTGGACGGTGGTGTAAATAATGAAATATTATTTATGCTTCGGGGCTCAACTTTATCGACTGTAAATTATTTAATATGAATTGTTTTTGTCAGATTTTCACACTGTACCTTTATTTTTAAGAAGCACAGAACTTTGTTCCGGTCCAACATTTTCGTATGAAATGTCAATGTCAAACGTCTGGGTTTCAAGCGTAGCAGGAGGAGATGACACAGTAAAAGAGAACTTATCTAGTGCTGCCCATCCCAAAGAGGTCCCATGACTTTGCTGATATGCTACTTCACTCGCATCCACCTGTAATGATTACAGTTCCATGAGTAACTAAAACATGAAAAATGCCCCCAAATCCTCAACATTTTTTAGACATTACTGTAAAATATTATTTCCTGATATACAGTAACACATTTAATTCTCTTTCAGAATATCAACATTGTGTCTTTAAGTATCAGCAAAAGCTTATATTAGCACCAAATCCTCTTGTGCCGGCTAACTAGGACATGTTACATTCAGCTTTCAAACAAGACAGGCCCTCAGATTATGCTTATGCTCAGTTAAAGTAAATTTATAATTCATTGCCTTGCACTCTGATATGCATGGCGCTGACATGGGGAAAAGAGGTTGGAAACACTCACCATTTGTTGTGTGAATGATGAAATATCTGTTGTGGTCTTGTCTGCCTGCAATTTGACCAGTTTTCCAAATTTCGGGGGATTGATCACAGTAAAATAAATGGTCCGATTTGTGATGCCAGAATCATCATTTGTTACGGCCTGAAGAATGTTGTTTAAAATCAAGCAAATGGAGCCTAGATATAAAAAAAGACAATAAGAATAGCCCCGGAAACTTTCAAAACAACACATTGGTCTGGTACATGCTATAAACAAAACCACATTGTCTGGTGTAAAGTAGCTCATGGGCTTTGAAATGTGAATATTCTGAACCAGGAATTACAACCAAAAACAAATTTGGAAGTTATATTTGCTTAAGAAGTATAAACACGGTCAAAGATTGAGGGTGGGGAAGTATTTCGAGATCCTGTTTCAGAATACTTGTGTTAAAGCACATTAGACTGACTGAATTCAAACAACTTCGAGCTATATTACAGGAAGGATTTTGCTTAATCTACAAACTCCTTTCATGACTTTAATGGAAGGTCATCCATTCTGTATTTACAGTTTGCTGTTGTGTCAAACCATTTGAAAGAAGCGCTGAACACAAAGGTCACAAGAATAGCGTGACAGGATGTGGCATTGAGAAGCATTTGTGTAGAGTGGCATTCATTTTAACAGAATAATGCATTTATTAGTCAAACATACTGTTGATTCATTCATTTATAATCAATTATTGCTACTTAAATTCCTGTCCATGTTAAGCTACAAAAATTGATTAGAAATAAAGGAAAAGTAACTGTTACTGGAAAAGTAATGTTAAACTGGAAAAGTAATGTTAAAAGGAAAAGGGAACAAAAGATTGATGAACTACTAAATTCAGTTCATTAGAAGTTAGGCAAACCTCAGTGAAACATTATGTATGAAGCCATTTCAGATGCTACCATTTACAAAACTGAAAGAAAGCAGAAAATGTAGAAGTTGAAAGTGCAGGAGCTGTTATTTTCTTAGAAAATGCTTTTTTTTCTTCAAATGTGTCATTCTGAGCAAATGTTTCTAAAATGAAGCAAATGACTGTAGTCCAATAACTTTAGGGACTTTCAAAGGCTCTCCACTGAGCTATTTATAGCACGAGAATTAAATCCGTTTTGTTATTGCATGGTTTGGTTGCACAAGGATTGAGAAACCATAAAACACAATAAAACCATGAAACACTGTGTTGATGCTCAGACAGAGACTGAGAAGTCTTAACTGTCTACGAGTGGGTGGAGACAGCGTTGTTGACTTTATACAGAGCGGAAAGGAGGCGTCAATCTGGTGCTCTGACTTGGCATGAGAGGCAGCCAGATGCTGACCTCACTGCTGTGAATAACATGACGTTATTTTACTCTTAACTCCATAAAAAGAGATGGAGAGCCCTATTTGTTCAGGTACTTATACGGCCTGAGATTCCATACAAAGATAAGAAGTACTACAGAAAACACTCTCTACAATGATTTTATGTTTATCCTTAATAAAATCTAATTGTATATAATAATTGTTTATATATAATAATTGTTTATGTTGTAATAATTATTATACATTTTATAATAATTGAAATCACAGAAACTATTTCACTATAGATAATCTGTGTGTGACAGAATATACCACATTACTGCTGAAGTTCATCCGCTGTTAATCATCATTACCTGGAAACACCTTAAGAGGTCCAGCCTTCTCTAGAGTAAGAACCAGGGCACGAGCTGTAATACTGAATATCTGTCTGGGAGCAAAGTTAACACCATCGTTCACTTGGAAGTTAAAGCCTCCTGCCATTGGGCCTAAGAAGAAAAAAGAGCAAACAACATCATTTCCAGGGATTTGAAGATTGTTCACAATGCACTGCAGCATCAAAGAAACGTTTTAAACCTTTGATGCCACATAATTCAACAACTCCTTTTATGTGAGCTATTTTATCGCACTGCATAGCTTACTATATTAAGCATGGTGTCTCAAAAATAAAAAAGAACACACACACACACACTCTTGGAGGAAGTACAACATGTCCAAACTGCATAGCAAAGTAATTATTCTGTAACACGAACCAAAAATGGACAAACACGGGAGGAACAATGCTGTGTTATGATTCAAAGCACAACACTGACCTCTAGTGGTTGAAACATAATGACACAGAGCTTGTACACACAATCTGACAATATGAAAAATGCTTTATTTTAAAAATAAATTAAGATGGTTTAATGATATCTCACCACTATGTACAAAAAGCAGTTGTCTCTGGTCAATGTGAGCTTGAGTGAAGTTCATAATGGGCCTGTTAGGGGCAGTCTTCAGAGCCAGATGACCATTGCTGGGTTGGGTAATGATGTACTCCATCTGCTCAGGGATCGTGTCCTCATCTTCAGCATTCAGATCCTCATTGGTGATTTCTGTGACAGAGTCAACCCACACCTAAGTAAACAATCAAAAAAAATAAAAAAATAATGAGGCACAGATTAGTGCTTGAAAGGCTTGTAGATCACTGAATGGTAACTGGCATATTGTTAAATGCAATCCCTGAAATCCCTGAATAACATGTTTCTGCTAAAACACCCTCCTGAGTTTCACATATTGGCTTTATTCATACCAAGTCATGGTACACTGATTGAATCTTACATCAGTTTAGGGAAAACAGATTAGGGAAAGCTTAACTCAACTAATCTGAATGCAAATCAGATACCAAAGAACAATAAAAACACAGATAAGGCTCATCAAAACACATCCTGACTCCACTAGAAGAGCATTTTTTTTTTGTATAAAGTAGATTAGTATGTTCAAAAAAATCAGGATGAACACTCATTTAGAAGAAAAAAAAATATATAGAGAGTATACAAAAAATAATCAATTATTTTTTTTTGTGCTGTCGGGACAGATTTCTCAGGAAACTGCACGCATACGGCATTCACCCACATGCGTCACATCATATCTGTACATAGATAAAAGTAGCACTGGTTGTGGGACGTGTCACGTGAAAAGTAGAAAATTTGTTAAATTGATTATGGATCATTTAAAAACTGTTTCTTTAACCTCTAGAGGGCTAAAAGTTATATAGTGTAGCTTTAAAAAAAGTTCAAATGAAAGATTAGAGAAACGATTATAAATAATGTACATCTGAATGAAGTCGCTTTTGAATAAAAAACATGAATGTAGTCAAAGACCTAATAGGTATGACACATCTAATTTCTCTAAAACCCTGTTGAGTAATTGAATAAAAAGCACTGAAATACATAAACCAGATTGTCATCATTTGTAATAAAAAATAGCAAACATGCATTATAAAAGTAGCAGAGATGAGCCACCTTGTGGGTTTTGTAAATATTTAAATCATAATGTTTAAAATCAACAAGCAAAATCATTTGAAATTGTGTCATTTGAATAATTAAAGCAAGAAGAAAACCTCCTGTAATTACTGTTGTGAGAGTTTTTTAGCAGACAAATCCCTGAAGTTTAAAAGCACAACACTGAAATATCCTGAGGAATCTGAATCATGTGGAGCAGCACATTCGACTGTCCCTGGTCTGTGATCTGTGACTTAAGACTTCTCTTGATGTTAAAGCCAATGATTTTCATGCCTACAACTAGTCGTCTTATGAGTCACAGAAACAAGTGTGTACTTGTCTCTATTCTTCTTTGACTGATGGAAAACAAAAGGGAAAAGAACACAGACAATACAAAATTAAAACTGTACACAAATTTCAACACCTTTACTCCAGAGTTCTCATACTCCATAAAAAATTCTCGGGACTTGAACCTCAGCTAACCTCAGTCATAAACAGAGTTTATAAATAGTAATCTCACCCTGAGTACCCTGTTGGCTGTAATGACTGGAGGCTCGTCATTGACGGCTGTGATCTGGACATGCACAGTCCATGGTGCACTGTGTTTTCGCAGGTCTGTGTCATTTGCTGTGACAGTAAAGCGGTCCTCCGAGGTCTCTGTGTTGTCATGGACATAATAAATAAATTCTTGCTCCACCTGCCATGTAAAAATAACAATATATGTACATACATTACAAAGAGAAAAAGTGACTAAAGTAAATAAATAAGTATAAAATAATTTACTAAAAACATTTTTAAGTGATTGTTTATGCCTTTTCATAATTTATTTTCCCAATATAATGTTCAAAACTGGAAAAAATGTACCTGCTTCCTTGTAAAGTAAGTTGTGGAAATCCCTGGGAAACGTGAATTCTCAATGCGGCCATGCAGGGGACCCTCTGAGATGTAGTACACAAAATTAAGGCCAGAGAAATGTGGATTTTTTACTCTGATGATGTCATCTGTGAGAGCTTTAGATGCCCCTTCCTTCAGAGTGACATTGGACACCTCAATGGGTATAAGGCATGGGATGATATCCACAGACATGATGATGTTACTGACCTCTGCGACCCCGTTGCTGGCCTCCATGGTGAATGAATCACTTTCTTGGCCAGGTGCCACTTGTACATACTGAATGTTGCCATCATTAACATCTCGCTGGGAAAAGGTCACTAATGGATCCTCTAGTGTTCCTTGGTACTGATATTTACTCTCAATAAACTGCCGTAAATAGCCATGAGATGGAGGAACTTTGATGGTGAAAGTTATTTCTGAAGATGAACTAGCCTCATGAGTCACCTGAAGAAAAACAGACATAATATTTTATTTCTCCATGCAACATCCAGCGTCGGGGAGCAATTAACTACAAGTAGTGACTCTACTTGCTTAAATACGTTAAATACGCTACTTTTCCCAACAATAAGTAGTGAAACGGTCCTGTCTCTGGCTGAATACGGAATAGAAAATTAGTATTCTAGTATGCTACTCCGAATTTATCCTCTCTCAAGTGTCAGAAATTCAGATTCATTAAAGTCATTCATCCTAAATGGTCCCATAGGTAGCAAATAAAAGTTTTATTCATTCTAGCGAATGAACATAAGAGCCTTCAAACAACTACACAAAAACCTGTTATAGGTAAAGAATATCAATCTATAACAGGATTCCCTTAAATCAGTCATATATTGCCTAAATATTCCCAATAAAAGCTCTGATGTGGATGTTTACCTTGAGTTTACTGCTTTCAATCTTGACTGGTTTCCCCTCATCCACCAGCAAAGTTTTATTATGAAGGAGGATGGGTGGCCTTTGATGGCTTTCCAGGTACACTTTCACATGGATTTTAACATCAAGCCGTAGGTCCTTTGCTTCCACCAGGAGTGTAAAAACATCAACAAGATTCTTACTGTTATCATGATGATAGGACAAGTAGTCATTTCTCAGGTCGTTCTGGGTGAATGACTCTGTCTTGCTGTCTTTTAAATACAGGCTTCCATGTTTTGGAGGCTCTTGGACTTTAAATATTATTTCATTGTCATTTCGGATGTCAAGATTTGTATCCACGCTAAAGTTTGCATTACTAAGTGTCTTGGCTTGCCCTTTTTGAACCAACAGGCCTGTGTTGTTGCCAGTTTTTAAATAAGCATCCTGTGTGCTAATATCCAACAGAGAGGACACATAGTGCTTGCCATCTGACACAAAAAGGACAAAACGGCCAGAGTTCATCCCATGGTGAATAAACAGCACTCGTTTCTGTTCCAAGTCTTCTTGGCGAAACTGGTACAGCTTATGTGAAGTGTCATTCACAAGAACCAAATCCCCCATTGGGATACCACGCCGGGTGTAGACAAGCTGCCCATCACTAAAGTCTGAATCTGCATCATGGTAGCGCAGGTCATCGAGTGTGAGTAATCTCTGTCCATTTCTGACAACATTAAATACTTTGTCTACAATGCGGATGGGTTTCTCATCATTAATCAGCTGTATCGAGATGTTAAAGATGCCTTCTTTGGAACCAATGTCATTATCCCTTATAGGAAGCTTTGTTACTGGGCCTGTGGAGGCTGTGAAGGTAATACTATCAAGAGCTGTTTCACTGTCATCATGAACGTACATAATTCGCTCCTCAAGAACGTCCTGATTGGTAAAGGACATTATATTGTCAAAGGCTTTGGTAGAGTTGGACAAGTTGATTCGCATTAGCTTACCATGTTGCGGCATCTTTGTGATCGTGTAGTAAATCTCCGTAGTGCTAAGCGTTTCAGCAAACAAGTCATCCTTTGTGATGAGTTTTCTTTCACCTTCAAGAAGTGACAGCCCATTGTTTGTCAAGAAAATGCTGTTGACATCTGCTTTAATATTGATTTTAAAAATGTGACTAGCAGAATGTGCATGCTTTGAGAATACATCAAAAACAAATTCATCCCTGGTGTCCTCGTATGATCTTTCCACAAGTTTGTATTCGACTTTCAGATCTGTGATGTCCCTTTGACAAAATGTGGAATTCACATCTAACTTGGCATTATCCACTTCAATTATTCCTCTTTTTGGTAAAGTCAACAATCTAAAACAAAGCTTATCCTCAGACAAGCTTACACCGTGTGCTGTTACATACAGATGCTCAGGGTCAATTACAGCTCTTGTAATTTTGTCCAGCTCAACAGGTTCATTGTTCTCTATTGTGTAGTATATCCACTTCACCTTTATGGGAAACACCAGTTCTTCAGTAGCTCTGGAGGCCACAGTTACTTTACACTTGAAGTGGTCAGTGCTATTACTTGTTTGAATGGACTGGTGGGTGCTGAGGTACCTCAAACGCTCCTTTTCAAGAACTCTTTGAGAGAACGAGCTGGTGACTTTCCACTCTCCACTTGAGTGCATCCTCTGGAGCTCACCAAATTTTGGTGGCTCAATTACATCATAACGAATATCAACCACCTGCTTCAATGCATTGGTCCAGACGGCCAGTTGGTTGGTGCTTAACAGAAACATCTCTCCTTGAGTCACTTCCAGACCCGTGTTATTGGAGATTTTATACTCAAGTTCCACAGCCATGATTCTAAGCACCACTGTGTTACTCACCTTCTCTCCATCACTGACTCTTAAAACAATCCTAGAGTTCCTCACACCCGTGTGGATGTAATATATCTTTCCCTCTACAAGAGCTGAATGGGAGAAAGAAGTTACTGGTGTACCTGCATTGTCTTCATTCTCCAAATACCCTGCATCAGAATTAAGGTTCCCTAACACAGAATAAACAAGGTCTGTGTAATTGCTGTCAATGTCTATGGCTTTCAGAACATCAGTGGTCAGCCTCTTCTTGGAGTTCTCCAGAAGAACAAACAGATTCCCCTCAGGTAGACTCAACTCCGGAGCGTCATTGGTTGGCGTGACGGTGACATTATACCGGTACAGCTTGTGTCCTTTCAGATAGCTTGGCACTTCCTTTCTGCTACTGGAGAATACAGAGAACATGAAGTAGTCCTGTGGGTCTTCAGATCCCCCATGGATGTACATCACCCTGCCGTGCCACAAATCCAGCATGCTGAATGTTTGCTCAGCCTGCTCCTGGTCTACATCAAGCCTAAGTTGACCATGCACCGGCTGCTCTTCAATCCTAAATATGATCTGAGACTGACGAATGCCAAGCTTCTTGAAATCGAGGTTCACTTTAATATGCTTAGAATCCAAGGCTCCTCGACCCCCTTCCGGGACAACAAGGTTCCTAAGCTGTAGAAAATTGTGTCCATAGTTTTTGACAAGACCTTTGGCTAGGGTGGACACATCTGTGGGTGCAGCTGAGTGACAGAGTCAACGAGGGTCATAGGAAGGGTTGTTGGGCCCACTGTGGTGCTTATTTCCAGCTCCTTTTCAGGATCACAGCCAACAGAGATGTCTTTGGTTACCACAGCATTGGGAAGACCCATTTTGGCATAGTTTATTTTAATGTCTCTGAAGCATCCTTTGAAGGAGCCACCTTTAATACGCTTCCCTGCTACAGAGGAAAGACCGACCTTTCTGACCTCAGAACGTGTGCCGTCATCGATTCCACCAAGGAAAAGGAAACCTTTCGGATAAAAGGATTTTGATCTGGAGCTAATTGTGGACTTTACAGTCTCTCCATCTACTGTGAGTTGGAGACTTTTTGGAGTGAAAAAGAGCTTAATGACATGCCATTTATTGTCACTAGTGAAGGTGAGGGAACGTAGTTCTGTTTTACTTCCATCTTTACCAACCACGGCAACAAGGTGACCTTTCTGGATCTCCAGGGCGACAAAATCTCCTTGTCGAGCTGAGCTGTACATGACGATCCCTTCTTCAGCTGACGTGTGTATTGAGCATTCAAAAGCCCACTCATGTTGTGCTGTCCAAGGTGGAAGGGATATGTAAGCCTGTGAGCTGAAAAAACTGATTGGGTCATCTTCATTGGCAAAGAACTGAGGGCTGCATCCTAGGGAAACCTCATAGACATTCTTGTACCCAGAGTAGGGCCTCAGTGATGAAAGGAGATTGTGCTGATTAAATATTACTTCATCGAGGCAGCCACGGAAGCCATTGAGATCTCTGGAAAGATAAGCCTGATCCAAACCTCCAGTACCACCCACATAAAGGCCATCGTTGATGTGCAGCTCTCGCTCTGGGCCTGGCATTCGCAGACTGGTCTTGGAGTGGTTGTCCACAGTCAGTGTGACATTATATAACTCATGGAGAAGCTCTGCAGTGTGCCAGGCCAGATCATTTAGCTGGGTTCCACTGTCTGAGAGAAGGACCTGCTCTCCAGAGCCCAGATCCATCCTTACCTGTGAATGACAGAAAAAATGTAAAAATCCTTACAAAATAATGCATAAAAACACTTTTATTTTTCAATAAAATAAACTGTACACTATAAAATACATTATACACTAAACTGAAAGGTGGTGGTAGCTCTGTGGAAAATTTTTGAAAAACGAAGAAAGTGTTTCAGCATATTTAAGATGTTTATTCTGAAAAGTATTTACAAATTAATCAGAATAAAAAAAAAAAAAATCATGCTAGGTTAATACAGAAAACATAAAAAAGTATTTAACAAAGTATTTAACATTAAAGTACACTTAAAATATTTAAAGTAAAAAAAAAATCCAGACAATATTATGTTTCAGTAAAGTGACATTATAAATGGCAATTATTTAATTTTGTCAATAACATGTTGATGTTGCTATAATATCTATAATATTTTTAACACAATATAAATGGTGAAACAATATAATGGAATCAAAAAGTTTTAGGTCTAACAAAATGTTTACTATAAAAGGAGTTATTATCTGAATTGTAAAGAAAATGTGTAAAAATATTTTAAGCATTAGCATTTGTCTACAGCTCATTAATTTTACTCTTAAAGAGGCTACATGCGTTTCCTGAAATTTAAACTCGTGACTGACACCTGTGGCCAAAAAACAGAACTGCTCTCGCAACGCGCGCTTTTACGTGCACACTTCACTAGTCAACTGCTGCAAGGAGGTCAACATTATGTTTACAGAGGTAAGAACATTGTTTGAGATAAAGTGTTCTGCTTGCGAGTGTAGGCTACTTGCTGACTAGCGGTGGTGGCAGAGTGATCTGAAACGTTTAACATGAATGTGTTTGACGTCACATCCACAGACAACGCGGGAAAAGTCCGACTCGACAGAAAATAGGAAAAATAGGATACAGGCTTATAGGTGCACCCACTGTGAGCGGACAAGGTGGCAGTATGCTCATCAGGAGATGTTTTAGTCATAAATGGTCAAATAAAAGGGGTATTGTTACGTTTATTTTGGGGAAAAAGCTGCATATAACCTCTTTAACATGAAAAGTCACTGTCTTTACATAAGACAGCTAAGACAAACGTGTCAAGGCTTGCTGAATATTTCTAGCTTTTCCACAACTGAAAGCAATTATCAAAGTCAAAGGATAGCAAAAGCACAATTTAATGACATATGATAAATGTGAGGGTTCAAAGATACTTTCAATTACAGGAAAATCAGACCTCAAAAAGTTCAGCACAATCTGTTCTGTTGTAGCCCTAAGATATATGTGAAATGTAAAAACCAAAATCCATTTCAGAAATTCATGCAAGGATTTTGAACTGGATTATGAGAGTTGATTTAATAATATTCAATTCTAGCAGATCCTCCAGTCATGTATCTACAGTACTTCTCTTACAATGTCAACTAAGCTCACATTCTTCAGTCCTTAAGTCAGTGCAATCATCAGATTTGTATTGTATACCTTAAAGAAGGTGGAAGATTCTGTGGTGAAGCAACACAGTATCATAACTAGGCCAGTATAAAATTCGCCACTGCATTTCATCTGAAGAGGATGGTGTTGAATTATTGTCTACTGAAAGTCTTGATAAAAAAAAACTTTCAGAAATAACTTTATTATATATATATATATATATATTTTTTTTTTAAATGTTGCAGCAATTTAACATAATCCTTATAATAGCTCTAATTAGATTATTTTCAAGCCCAAACAGAATTGACATGTTTCCACATGTAGTTTTATTGTGGTAGATGATCTAAACATTGCTGAGGGTGAAATAGCAACATGTGACTCACCTGCAGTCTGCCAGCGTTCATCTCCAGCAACAGGAAATCATTCTGCCCTGCAGCCAGGAAAAGCAGGCCATTCAGGCTGGAGGTGCGGAAACGAACGTGCAGTGTGTTACGGCTAGACGTCTCTGTCCCTTTTAACTGCACAAATCCATCACCAAAGAACGAAGCTGCAGATAAGAGAACATCACCTATGATGTGTGTTTATTTTGTTTATTGTTTATTTTATTTTTTTGCCCTGAATGCTCCATGATTTCATGCAAATTGTTCATTTTTTCCAATTGTTAATGAGTTTCAATGTTGTGATTTTAAACTACATCACGTTTCAATTACACTTAAACTGGTGACTTTATAATGAATTGGGTTGTAGGAAGATTTGTTTACATTTAAATGGATAGTTCACCCAAAAATAGTAAATTTTGTTTTCATTTACACATGCTCTCTGTTTATCATGATGACAATGCAAAACTATCCGGCTGGTACAGTAGGTATCTTACATGTAGTTGTAGTCTACTGTCGAGTACGCTTCACTAGTGGGCGGTATGACCAAAATTCTGTTTCACGGTATGGCTAATTTTATTTCACGGTAATGATATATTTCACGATTTCCTTGAATGCCCCACCATAGCACTTACACACCGCACTGAACTGTAGTCTACGGGCGCCGCTCTAGTTGACTGCTGTGCATTTCCCCCCGAAAATATCACGTTAACAACAACCCTTTAGAAAACGTAATTCCTTAGTGGATCCTCTTGATCTACTTTCTCCGGCATGTTTCTTTGTCAAATCTCAGTGTCTCAGTCTCACGAACGCTGCACGGGAGTTAGACACGCCCACTTATTTATGTCGCGGTATACACGGAATTAAAAAAATCTGTTTAGGTTGACATTTTCTACTGCGGTAACAATATACACCGTCATACCACCCAGCCCTACGCATCACCTATCGGCAATCTTAATGCTTGCCGTAAAGCAAATCAAATTTGTAGTTTTCGTCTCATTTGGACTACAGAAACGCGACCCGATCTGGCAATCTTACATAGCGTGGATATATTAGATAAAGGACAGCAAAGCGGTGGCATAAATGCATTTCTGAATTTCACAACTTGATGAACCACTGAAACGATTTTGAAAACATTATTTTAAGGTAAAACATTTTTTTTAAAAATGTGATACTGTGGACTACAACATTCTTATCTCATGTCTTGAACAATGTATGGGGGTATTGAAGGTTGCACTCTAAATTGGTTTAAGTCCTATCTGAATGCCAGAACATTTTCTGTTTGTGTTTGTCTTGACAGGTTCTCTTCTGATGTTTCTGTTTTGGATTATGGAGTCCCTCAGGGCTTCATTCTGGCCACTGCGCTGTTCTCGTTCTATATGCTTCCTCCTTTGAGGACTATTAAACATGGGGTGTCATTTCACTTTAAAGCTGTCACTGGTGATACCCAAATTTATCTGACTCTAAAGAAAAATTACAAAAAAGACCTAAGCTCATTATCAGCATGCTTGTCTGATATCAAGTCCTGGTTTTCCTTCAATCTAAACGACAGAAAAACTAAGGTTATTGTTTTTTGGGCCCTCATAGGTGTCTGTTACTCCTGAGGGCAACCTGGGAGATTTGGTCCCCTGTGTAAAACATTCTGTGAAAAACTTCTGTTATTTTTGATTCTGCTCTTAAATTCAATTAACATAACAGATAAATACTGTAGTTAAATCTAGGGTTTTCCAATTAAGATTATTATCTAAGTGCTACGAGTTGCAGTTTAAGAGAGTGATCCATTTGTTCATTTCATCTAGACTTGACGATTGTTATTCTCTTTAAATGGAATCAATAAAATGGAGTCAATAAAATATTAGCAATCTTCAGATGGTTCAAAATGCAGCAGACAGACTTGTGACTGGCAACCGGTTTGTTATAGAATTGATTTTAAAATTCTGCTTTTTGTTTTTAAAGCTCTAAATGGATTAGCTCCAAAATATCTCTCTGGATCTTTTGAAATTAAATAACTCTGCAAGATCATTAAGGTCATCTCAACAAAGATTGCTGATAGTTCCAAGATCTAGACTTAAGACAAGGGGTGACCCTGCTTTTCCTAATGTTGATCCAAAATTGTGGAACAGTCTTACTCTATCCCTAAGACTGTAGTATTCACTAAATTTTAAAGACTTTAAAACTCAGTTAAAAACTTACCTCTTCTCACAGGCTTACAACTGTTTTCTGATTTTTTTATGTAAACTCCCTTCATCATTTGTTTTGCAATCTTTCTTGTTTTAGTTTTCTTTTAAATATGTATTCTGTTGTACAGCACAATGGCTACTACTGTTGCTTTTAATGTGTAAATAAAAGTTAAATTAATTTGATATGATGTCTAATCTTCAAAATCATACAGGTTTGGAACGACATGAGGATGAGAAAATGACAGAATTTTCATTTTTGGGTGAACTATGCCTTTAAGGTTACTTTTAGATTTTCACATAGACAATAAATAAAAGTGACTGAATGAATAAAAACAGCAACACTTGTCTTTATGACAGTCTGGATGGCGCCAGGGAAACACTGTGATACCCATGTACATGTGCTGGCATGCTCTGCCCTGACAGCACCCTGTTCTCAACATAAAAGACTCTGACATGGCCACATTGTCTTAGCCCTGCTGTCCATTGATGGAGGCCTGCATGGACGCAGCTGTTTTCTAACCCAGCCACTCCACAGTCCACATCACCCTTTAATCTGCACTAATGTGTTCTACACTCTCATCAACCTGTCTTTGCACTATAGTATTTACACCCCACAATTTGTATGGGTACAGAACACTTCTACTTTGTGACTGAAATGCCACACTAATGTTTAGTGTAATACCGTGAAAAACTATGCAAGTTCATTGTGGTGACATTATTCATTTGTGATACTACAGTTGAAATTTTGTTCGAATTAATATTTATAAGTCCTTTGTTTACAATGCTCAAGGTAACAAGCAAAGTTCAATGTGATTCACTGAACTTTGCATGGCTGGCACAAGTAGCCAAATGTAATTGTGGAAATGAAGATTATATTTTGGAATATAAGATTACAATAACTTTTACAATGCAATGATGAGTAAAATATGTCAAGCCATACTTAACCATATTGGTCTAAAAATGCAAAGGAGCAATATTAAGACAACACATTTGGTCAAAAGTACATCTACAATAATGACATGATAACGTTGACCGCAATCTTTGTGGTTTGAGATATACTAACAAACCTGAGCTAACAGTAAGAGCGGAGAAAACTAGAATGCCACTTTCTTTAGTCTCTTTTCATTGCACAAAGAGAGCTTGAATCTGACATCTTGGGGATTTTATAAGTCTGGACACTGCACTCCAAACTAAGACCACAGAAGACATCAGACATCTTGATAATTCTGTGCAATTGCTCAACATTAAACAAATGCAACTGATGCAATAATTGGCAAATTACACTATATTATATTCAAATGCACCACAGGAATCAGCATTTAAGTCATTTGCTCTTTGAATAATGCTGGATTGCTCTGAGGTTTTTTTTTCTGTTGTGCAAAGCTGTTTTTTTTTTTAACAGTTAGTAAAAACATGACCACTTGAATAAACATCCAAGCTAATAATATGCATTGCTTTCATAATGCAATGATTCACTAGCATTAAAGCATGGATTTAATTGTTTTTAATAACAAAAAGGCTTTTTTCAGTACCTAGTACTTACATTTGGCAAACTGTGAATATGGAATCTCCGTGAGCCACAAATCTGTGCAATCATGACTGCTATAAATTCTGTACACAACAAATTTAAACATATAATTTTGGGTTCATGGTTTGGGTATGGAAGAGTCAACTGCAATCATGCATATTTGAATATATTTCTTTGTATTAACGTCAGTTATTCCACAAACAGAATATTACAACAAGACATTCTAATTACACAGACAGCCAGGAGCCATAAGATATAAGTCTGCTTGTTCAAAAAGTCATTGCCATACTTTGATATTTGAGGACAATAAAGGATCGTTCGCTTGGTCTTGCTGAATCCTCCAACTCAAATGTAGGCTAAATGGTGAAATACCCTTCTTACTAGCTTTACATTAGCCATACTTCAGCAATTTAAACAACTCACCCCCCTGTGCGATTCCGACAAAGATCAAGAGTAGTCCGTTTAAAAGGATCGTTCTCATTTTAACATCAATGCAGAGTGTTCATTCCGCTTGAAATAGAGAAAGAGCTTGTTTTAAAGTCATTGTGTTAGCAAATTCATAGCAGCTCGGTAACTCCTCACTTTAAAATCTTTTCCCAAAGTAACTTGTTTTCTGAGCACTAGCAGTAACGTTAAGCAAGGAGAGGAGAAACTCCGCCTCCGAGTCCTCGCGCTGCCCCCATAGACAAGGCTGCCCCTCACCCCGCCAACAGAAGACCGCATTACTTGAAAAAAATAAAAATTAAAAAAAATAATATATATATGAAGAGTTCAGATGCAAAAGCCTCTAAGTGCCATTTAAAATTTTCTTCTAGAATGATCATTTTTATCAAGCTTGTATATTTAAGTTCAGTGATTTCACTTAAATGGCAATGATGATTACCTATTAATTGTTATTTAAGTGAAATTACTGAACTTAAATATACAAGTTTGATAAAAATCATCATTAAAGAAGAAAATTTCAAATGGCATTTAGAGGCTTGTGCATCTGAACTCTTATATATATATATATATTAGGGCTGTCAAATGATTAATCGCGATTAATCGCATCCAAAATAAAAGTTTGTGTTTACATAATATATGTGGGTGCATTGTGTATAATTATTTTATATATATGAATACACACACATGCTTGTATATATTTAAGAAATATTTTCATGTATATACTGTAAATAGATTTATATATAATTTATATTACATGTATAAATATAAATAATATTTTTTCTTAAATATACATGCATCTGTGTGTATTTATACATTTACAAAATAATTATGCACAGTGCACCCACATATCTTATGTAAACACAAACTTTTATTTTGGATGTGATTAATCGCGATTAATCGTTTGACAGCCCTAATATATATATATATATATATATATATATATATATATATATATATATATAAACACACGTATAATAATTCATATTTTTGTAATAGATTTTTTAAATAGTTTTATATTAAAGCCTTTGACTGAAAATAAAACAAGTTTTATTTTTAGTTTTGAAACAAGACACACACACTATTTTTTATACAAACTGCAACTAAATTGTAAAATTATTTTAATTTTATTAATGTTAAATTCACATATTTATTTAGGATTTTCATAGTTTTAGATTGAAATGTCTGGGTCTGGGACAAGGGCTAAACAAAAATCTATACATAATGCATTTGAAAAGTAGCAAATAAAGGCAAGGCTGATGAAACGTTTTTAAACCTATTTTAATGTGACCTTCATAACCAAAAAATATATAGTATAAATACTATATATATATATATATATATATATATATATATATATATATATATATATATATAATACAAATTCAGTCAACCATTCACGTTGGTTTATTATGACAGAATGATATTTTGAGATAATGTAATCATACAATTGGATGAAACTGTTTGATATATGAATAATTATAATGTACGCGTGCTGATTGGACATCAGTAGGAACATCTTAAATGACAAGCGCTTAAACCAATGAGAGAAACAAATGTTTATGTTTGTGTTATTTTGATATAGACTATGATATGAGCGTGTAAGCTTTCATACTAATACACGTTAAAATATATCAATACAATTATTTTCTATATGTTAATTTATCGATAAATGTGGACGTCTTTTTTATCTAAACGGCAGTTGTGCGATTTGACCGATTTGACAAGCATATTTGTCCCGCCCACGTGAGCCCACGAGCCAATAAGAAGCATAGTATGCTATCAGCGCATGCTAAAGAAAGAAGTAGTCAGGAAGTTCCATAGACAGTAAAAGAAAGGAAGGGAAGTTCATGCAGCGAATGCATCCATCTGGGCTTACGGGACGCTGTCATCTGCAGGTGATCTGCCTTGGCACAATGCTCTCTTTGCACCACTAATGTTCTGGTTTCAATACATGTTGAACTATCTAGTATGTAGCTAAATCCAAGATACAGTCATTATGTAACAAATGCAATGTCAACCTTGTTCATTTTGCTCTGCTTGCGACTTTTCTAATGCACAATCAAGCCTTGCGAATCCTTCTTATGTTTTGAAGAACATTGTAATTGAAAGTATTGTTGACTGTAGACAGCTAACACAAGACATACGTTTTTAGATACTATATATTATGCATATTGTTCTTGATCTCCTCAATATTAGTATCCCCTTACCAACCTTTACTTATATTTTAAAGTAATTGTGTTCTGGTGCATTCGTTTGGATGAAGAGAGAAGAGAGCCCACCGATTGTATCTTCATGTAGGAGGCGCTGTTGACATAAAGAATACATACTATCGGGGAAAAAGTCGTTCTCCTAGGTAGGTTTGTAATAGATTCTGCAAGAGTATCTGATGCATATATGTACTGTATATTTTCTATAATCAGAGTCATTTTACTGCAGGTATAAGAAACCAGCAGCTGGCATACAAATAATGTAAGTATCATGTTAAAATAATGCCATTCAACATACAAGAATCATACAGTTGTTTGAGGTGATTTAATACTTTTATTCAGCAAGGATACATTAAACGGATCAAAGGTGCCAGTAAAGTCTATTACATTGTTAAAACGTTTTGAATGCTAAATGCTAAAAGAAAAATCTATTTTAACTTTCTGTTCATCAAAGAATCCTGAAAAAAATGTATCACCGTTTCCATGTTAAGCACAAGCAGAACACCTGTTTTGAGCATTGATAGGAAATGTTTCTTGAACAGCAAATGAGCATGTATGATTTCTGACACTAAAGACTGAAATGGACATACCATTACAGGATTAAAATACATTTAAAAATATATTAAACTAGAAAGTTATTCAAAGTTTATAATATTTCACAATATTACCGCTTTTTAAATGCAGCCTTGTTGAGCATAAACAGTTATCATGTAAATAATGTCATACAACATAGAAGAGTCATACATAGTTCTGGTGAGTAGTACATACTATTAATGTCCATAATTATACTGAATAATTATACCCTAATGTGATATAAATGATGTTGTTATTTCTTATTTCAGGATTGTGTTGAAGTGCTATCTCTCTCTTCCATTGGTGGCAGGGGCATTATTAGTGGGTCTTCCTTACAGTATCTCTCTGGTTGCCCAGTGGCTCTATGGCTGGCCCAGTAAACCAGGGTACCAGAAATATTTAGAGGCTGTCAAACCAAGGTGACACATCATTAACATTTTGATGCTACTAGGCTTTAATTGTAGGCTTTTTTAATAATGCATATGAAGAGTTCAGATGCAAAAGCCTCTAAATGCCATTTGAAATTTTCTTCTAGAATGGTCATTTTTATCAAGCTTGTATATTTAAGTTCAGTAATTTCACTTAAATGGCAATTAATAGGTCATCTTCATTGCCATTTAAGTGAAATTACTGAACTTAAATATACAAGCTTGATAAAAATGATCATTTTAGAAGAAAATTTCAAATGGCATTTAGAGGCTTTTGCATCTGAACTCTTCATATGTTTCTTGCTCTCCCAACAGACGCATATACTGCCTGACAAGAGCCGTGCTTGAAATGCTGAAGTATCTACAGTATGGCAAACTGTATTTTCAGTGGAAACTGTGGTACAGTAATGACAAAAATAACAAGCACTATGTGAAAGTTAGTTCTATTTTTATATATTCCTGTTAATGTGAGGAAAGGGTGTGGTTTAGTTAGCCACAGGGCACACAGTGAGCTACACAGTACAAGTCAAGTCATGATTTATTTATATAGCGCATTTTACAATACAGATTGTTTCAAAGCAGCTTTACAGAGATATATAATGCAAAAATAATGCAACAATATAATGCAAAAAAGAGGCACAGAGAGAGAAAGTTAAAGAAACATAGGACAGTGATAATTCTTTTAGAGTTTTGTGATGCAACATAATATTAACGATCGTAATATTTTAATATATTATCTTATTATTAAAATGTTTTGAAAATGTATTTTGTCATGAACTGTCCATAGACCAAACGCAGTAGTTTCTTAAAGGAGTAGTTCAATTTAAAATGAAAATATTACATTTAACACGCTATAAAGTAAAATTCTAGCTTCTGGCCAAAGCAGCCAAACGCAGTCTACATGCATATAAAGTGCAACTTACGCAACTCATGACGTCAGAAGTAGAGTTGTGCGTCATGGTGTGGTGTAAATATCAGCAATATGTCACATTACTTGCATAAGTTGCTCTTTACACTTATATGTTCGTTTGGGCGGAGTAAGTTATTATTTTACTTTATAAAGGTTTAAATACGAATATTTTTCTTTCATAAACTCAAGAGTCAAAACCACAGGGCAAACAATCCAGATAGCAACAGGGTCCAAGACAAAGATAAACCGTCAGAAGATCGGGACCATAACACAGGAAACAAAACAAAAAAAAGCTCTCAGATATCCTGTGATGATACAAACAATACTTTGGAATGAGTGATTGAAAACACAGATCTTATGAAAGACAAACACAAACTTGTTAATCACACACAGGTGGAACTGAAGTAATGAGTCCAGGCAATGTTTTATGGGAAGTGTAGTTAATGATGGGAAAGCAAAGGAGAAGGGAGGATTGCCCTCTAGTGGAAATTAAGCGCACTCCAGCTGGTGGATGTAACACACATTTTATTTCATTGTTGTTCTTTCCTTTTTTAGGGCATACCCTTTGGTCGCCGAGGGAATAAGTTAGATTTATATTATTCACCAAGCACGGGTCTTTCTGATGCTGCTCCTGTACCGGTGGTTGTATTTGTGTATGGAGGAGCCTGGGGTTCAGGAGACCGCTCTATTTACTGCCTGTTAGCCTTACAGATGGCAAAAGAGCTTAATGCCTCTGTAATATGTCCTGATTATTCCATATTTCCAAAGGTAAACCACCTAGAAATATTTATTATTTACTTTTTTAGTGTGTTTTTTTTTTATGTGTGCTTTGTTTTTAGGGAAATGTGTTAAGTATGATTCAAGACATTTCTGACAGTTTGCTCTGGGTGAGAGAAAAGGGACATGCGTTCAATCTTGATCAAGTAAGTTTCCTGTTCAATGAAAATGTTAAATCTTTTAAAAACTGTTAAAATTGCATCACATATACCAATTTAACAGTTTGGCATTACTCAATGCACTTTGAAATATTAAGTTTTTCATATTAGCACTTTATTATTTCAAAATGCGCTTTTACTGTATACACTACCATTAAAAAGTTTGAGGTGTGTTTAAAAAAAGAAGAAATCAATACTTTTATTCAACAAAAATGCAATACATAAATAGAAAGTGGCAAATACTTTTACATTGTCACAAACAATTTTATTTCAAAATAAAAGCTGTTCTTATGAAATGTCTATTTATCAAGGAATCCTAAAAAAATGCATCATGTTTTACACAAAATGATCAAATTAGTTTTCTTGAGCAGCAAATCAGCATATTAGAATGATTTTTCGAATGATTATCTGAAACTGAAAACTGGAGTAATGGCTGCAAATTCCACTTTGGCATCATAGGAATAAATTGTACTTTAAAATATATGACAATAGAAAACCGTTATCTCAATAAATTGTTACAATATTTCACAATATTACTGTTTTTACTGTATGTGAGCGTAAGAGATTAAATCTTTGAAATCTTAGCAACCCTAGTGTATATTTCCTATGCTATTTTGTAATAAAACAGTTTCACCTAGGCTAAATTGATGTAGAAATCTCCATCTAATTCTAAACCTACTCTTTTTTTTTAATGCAGGACAACATAATATTAATAGGTCATTCAGCAGGAGCTCATCTGTGTTCCATTACCACACTGTTTCTGGTGAACAATGTAGAAGAATTGTTCATTGAGACCAACAAACAGAGAGATCTTGTATCGTCCATTAAAGGAATCATAGGTAAATCAATGCTCCAGATTTATCTTTGTCTTGTGTTATGATTGTTTATTATTTAGCATAGCAGTTGCCCTGTTAATTTAGTTTGTTTTTAGGAGAAAAAAAAAACTTGATCAAGAAAAGCAATATTTTTCATTCATGTTGTGTGTTTTGTTTTTGTAATAGGTCTGAGTGGTGTTTACAGTATATTGGATCATTATAAGCATGAGAAAATGCGGGCTGTTGAATATGTGTCAACTATGCACAAAGCTATGGATGGTGTGGAGAACTTTGATTATTATTCACCAACATCATTACTCAAGAAATTGAATAAGGATCAGTTGAAACGGTATGACAGTTATTGCACATCTAACAACTGCTGAAGCAGCAATACATTAAAGGGGTCATGAACTGGTTTTTAAATTTTATTATATTGTTGTCTGAGGTCAACTTATGACGTTTGCTTGGTTTATGTTATTCGAAAACATCAAAATGAATAAGTAATAGGCTATTTTGTACCCAAGTTTTGAGCCTATCTGAAAAACGCACGGTTTTTATGGGCGTCTCGCACTGAAGACTTGGAAGTAAACGCCCACTGCTGTGAGTGGATAACAGTTTTGCATATTATAATGAGTTTCAAGTCACCCGTCGATGCGCTTGGGGCAAATTGTTTTGAAAACGTGCAATTTTGTAAAATGGCAACCGGAATGATTCGACCCAGAGTCCGTGTGTTGCACAATTCCTGTCAGATCCAATGTAGACACGGCACAGCACCGTTCTTTACTCTTAATCGTCTGCAAATCTAGTCTTGTTTACAAAACAATCGTCAGCGAAATGAAGCGAACAGACGGATGATGTTTTACCCTCATCAGCTGGAACATTGTTAAAAATAAAGTTTATCCATGCAGTCTTATTGGAATCCAGAGGAAGCTTATGCAGCCACTGTCTTCTTCCACAGCCAGGCACTGCACAATATTTTGTATTGCTTGCTTTGTTTATTTTGCTCCGTGTTATGTTTGCTAGTGTGAGGGTCAGAGCAATTCATTACATTATTGTAGATTTAACGTAGACACTTTATTATTTGCTATGATTTTCTTGCAGCGTTCCTCCGGTGGGTTTGCTCCATGGAACCAATGACATCATAGTTCCGGCGGAATCATCAGTGATGTTCTCTGAGCTCCTGACTTCTCTTTCTGTCAGTATGTCTCTTTATCTAATACCTAAAATGAACCACACCGAGATGGTCACTGACCTTATGTCTCCGGACAGGCACTTTTACCATTCTGTTTATGGCTGTATTAAACAGGAGTACAGAAAATTTCAGGGTTAGCTTGATTTAAATTTTTGTATTCTTATTTTTATTATTATTAGTCATAAAATCATAAAATTACTAATATAATTTTCTAATATGCCAAACAGTCATTATCCTTAAGTCATTATATGTTTTTTATAGTTTAATTGTAAGTTTACATTCAAGTTCTGATGATGTTTTCCTCTGAAATGTTTAATTTTCCATCAAAATGTGTTCAATAAGTTGAAAACGTTAGCTATGTGCTTGCTCATTTAAATAAAAAATCTGTTTAAAAATCTACCTTTAAAGTGTAATTAAATGCAACGGAAAGAGATTGTTCCAGTTAAAATAGGAATAATTAATGAATAAAGATAAAATTATGTTTCGCATTCAAAAATGCAATGTGCATATTGGAGAAATACTACATTTTTATACATATATTTTAGGTTTACTTGTGTAAATTCTTCTATAATGTTTATTTGAATCATGCATAAATGTTTCTCTTTGTGTTCTATTAGTAATTTGGTTATTGATCTTCTTTTGTTTGTTTGCCATTCACAGTTGATGCCACATGATCTTAGATTAAATAACATATGCTTCAGCTGTGCATGCTGCAGAAATGTTATTGATTTATATTTGCTTTTGTCATGACTGATGAAATGTTGTTGCCAAGGACACAATTATGTTCCTAATCGGGTGTTTAGACCAGCATTGAATATACTTTCAACCTTATTGTGGGAGCATATAATATATTAGGAATGTAAAATGGATGTAACATAACGTTATAGCACAAGTGTAGGATGTATTATTATTGAGAAATGTGTTTGATTAAATATACAAGTGAATATATTTACATATTGATTGCACTGAAACTGTAACATCAGCATCATGTACAATTTACATTCCTTTCTTCTTTTACTGCTGTGGCAGTAAAGGGCATTAAACAAAAACTATAAATTCTGACAGATTGGCCTTCGATTATTACCTGACCAGAGTAAAAAAAAACCGTTCCTCCAAATAGAGAGCTGCATCGTTCTGGCCAGCAGGAGTCGCCGTTTCCCGTGTAATTAAAGTACTACAGCGAGCACTGGGAGGCAGCGTCTCCCACACCGCTGAGATCTGAAGTAGTGCTGGAGCTGGGACGAGCTCAAGCCTGTGTTGTTTGGGATGTCGAGGATTAAATATGGCCACTAGCTAGCTGATCTAACAGAACCAGTAACCGCTTCAGAAAGCACTGGCATCACCCGTGAAATATGGATGGGAAGAGCGCAAGAGGATTTCTTTAGAGCGCTTCTCACTGACGCTTGAACACATCGCCTGGTCTGGTGAGTTCTCATGGATTTGCGGATACACTGGAGACATGCAAAACACATACACACTGCCCACTGGCGCTAGCTTCCTTCCTCCAAAATACAGCTCCCTTTCTTTGCATCTTTCTTGAAATGTTAATATGTTATTCGTTTTATATAAATGACAGTCAATGCTATCCAGCGGTGTAAAAATGAAGCGCACAACTCGGCATGTATTGGTTGTTTAGCCGGGGTTGGCTAGCTCTGGCTAGGAGAGGAGGACTCCGCTAGCCTGTTAGCTGCTGACGAATAATCACTCATGTGGAGAAAATTTACAAATACGATCGTTTATTATTGTTTACCTAGAGTTAATCTCATGCGGGATTATTATGACTTATTTTGACGTTATTCAGGGTATGTTTATTGAGATGTTTTTGTCGTACTGTCACTAAAGAAATCGCCTCATCCCGACTGTAACGTTACTGAAATTATTTGTGTTTCATGTCTGTTTATAATATAATAATATATTGTTTTCTAGCCTGGTTCATTTGTTTTTCTACTCGCTATAATGTAATTCCAATTTTACTTTTCCAATACATGGTGGCCTTTATTTCTTTTCTTTCCCCCGTTTAATTCTAATTATAGGGTGTCTATTTTATAAATCGTTAATAACGTAAACAATACCTTTCTGTGTTTTTTTTACGGTGTATGGTGAAGTCTGTGTAGTGTTGTTGACTGTTTGGCTGACAATACGCAGCCCAATTTCCCACACTGTTTCAGTTGTCGGTCCGTTTGTCTCTCTGTATCTCTCTAACCTTACACATGGACTTTCATGAAGGCTGAAACTAATCCCAGTACATCATCATTCAAGTTGTGATATGAAGGCCATGGTGAATTATTGGGACACGGTGTAACATTAATGGTGAAGTGGTGGACAGCTGCATCAGGTAGAGGTCATGGATTCATGAACAGCTGTGTGTGGCCTCCAGGCTGCTCATTCCATTTCATTTGTGTTGTGTGTTTTGGTGAGGGTATACAGAACTGTGAATAATATTAGATACTATTATTGTTGTTTTATTATATCAACACACAACCCTTGTTTTGTGCAAGTCATTCAATCTGTGATTTTATCCCAGGGCCATCATAATATTGGCTTGTGGCCAAATTAGTCAAAGATGACCTAAATTGCCCCCATTTAAATGCTATACATTTTTCTTTACTTTTACTATTAAACCTTGTTTTACTTTGTCGCTGTTTTAAAACTCACGAATGGAACAATGTAAATGCTTCTTAAATGTCAATACATGATGGCATTACAATAAAGTGCATCTCATTTAAAGATTAGTTCACCCAAAAATAAAAATTCTGTCATTAATTTCTCACCCAATGTCGTTTTAAACCCTTAAGACTTTCGTTCATCTTCGGGACACAAATACAAATATTTTTTTTAATAAACTCTGCCAGTTCTGTCCCTCCATTGAAAAGTTCATAATGAGATCGCAAAACTAGGCCCTACTAATCCATATCATCAATTGAGCGGGTGTAGTCCAAATTTTCTGAAGAGATTCGATCACTTTATATGATGTAAAGATTAAATTTAGGCTTTTATTCACATAAACATTGATTAGCAAACATAACAGATGCTCAACCCAAACCTGCTTGATGCGTGAGAGCAAATCTCTTGCAGAAGATCAAACGTGCGGCAGAACACCAGAATGAACCTCATTGGTTCTCACACATCAGGTGAACAAGCTTGAGCTTCCGTTTACCACAACTGATGTGCGAGTTGATGAATTTTTATATGTGAATAAAAGCCTATATTCACTCTGTGTCTCTTCAGAAAATTTGGACAATTCATATGGATTATTTTTTCAATCTCTTCATGAATGTTTTGGAGCATCAAAGTGTCAATTGTGTAGCTTTCTATGGATGGACTGGAAGCTTTCATATTTCATCAAAAATATCTTCATTTCTGAAGATGAACTGAAGAATAACTGGTTTTGAAATGACATAAGGGTGAGTAATTAATGATGAGTCATTTAGTAGATCTAATGTAAAAAATGGCTGTGAGATCAGACAGGATGTATAACTAAAGGTATGTTGCTTGATAATGTCACGTGCAGTGGACTTCCAGGGTATTTGACCATCTTAAGTGAGATTTGCAGAGAGCATTAATGTTCAGTCTAGCATAAGAAGCCAGTGTACATCAATATCTCTTGACAGGAAATGGAGATGGGAAATGTACCCAACACACACACAATACTACAAGTTTGGCTAAAATTGAATTCATGCTGGTTTTTTTTATCATCCAATTTCTGTGTAGTTATTTTCAAGTAAAAAAACACATTTTAAACAATGTTTAAATGCAGTTATTATTATCATGGCTCACATAATAAAAAGAGCCCTTTATTTTCATATTAAAATATGTATTACTAAATGTAGGGACTTTCTAGCCTGGCTAACGTCAGACCCAAGTCTCAGTGAGACTCACTGACGATGTAGTTACGCTGACGCGCTGCTCAAGTGCCACCAATGCTTGCGGTGTGAAACGGCCGTAAAGCTGAATCGAAAGGTAACTTCGCGTCTGCTGCCATGTTGGATCCATAGGTATAAACAAACTGCTTCAGTGTGATGCATAGACGTCATCGTCGTCTTGCTGCTTTCTCCCCGTTCTGTGATTGGTTTCCTAGATGAGGAAAATAATATAGTGAATTATATCGTGCTACGGCAAAGCAGTATGGGGAAACCCAGGCTAGGGTTTTTCAGTATTACTAAACATATCAATTAGAATATTTCTATAGTAACACACACATGTGTGTATGTGAAACTATGATCACTTACTTTTAAAGGGGGGGTTGACTGCTTTTTTTTCTTTGCATGATTGTGTTTATAGGGTGCAATATAACATGTATTCGTGGTTTTTCTTTTTTTAATAGTTTTATTTTTCATAAACTTCACGTTTATTGTCAGCCGCGCTCTCCTCTGTCCTCGATCGAGCGGTCGACTTCCTGAGTTTATGAAACCACTCCCTCAGAAACAGGCAGTGGGCTCAGATTGGTTAGTTTGGGCCGTTGTGTTGTGATTGGCTAAACTCTCTCACGTTGTCCGGAAGGTTAACGCCCATTACCTTTACGGGCGATACGTGCCTGCGCTCTGGATCATTCATGTCGAAACAGTATCAGTTTGAGGCAGAATCAGACCGAGAAAGCAGCAATGAAAGAGTCAAACAGAACCTCACCACACACGGCTCTTACTAAACGTTTCTGAATGATAATTTGCTACGTTTTTTAACTTTATACACGTTTCTTTTACACAATAGCATCTGACTGGCAACAATAGCAACTGACTGGCTACTAATGTTAAACACAAACAGTGTCTTGATTAAATTGAAAATAACGTCATAAAACATATATACATGAAAAATACATTTACAACATAGTACTTATACAAAATTCAGGTCCATCATGTTTGTACGCGTTTTTCGTAGACACAAAATAGCATAACTAGTAGCCGAGTGGCTATAAAGCCAGTGCTGGCATTTGAAAAAAAAATAAAACACAAGGCTACGTCTGAAATTATACATGCAAATACATTTAAAATGATTAAGTCTAGCCTACTTACAGGTTGTGGCCCAACAACTGCTGCCTCGGGTTTTAAAGTTGGAACTGCTTCATGTTTTAGTAACAGTTTCTTGTTGAATCCGGTGTTGAATTCGTGGAGATTCTGGAAGCTGTCTTCCGTAAAATGCGCAGCACAGAGAGCTAGATTACGATCATCATTTTCAGGAACATAATCAAACATAAATTGTATCCATTGTTGACGAAGTACAGCGTCCGTGGGAAGCTCGAACACAGAAGACCTGACAGCTGGGTGAACATAACACACTCGACGAGCCGCAGAAATATGATCATGCCCTTTTTTGCATATTCCGAAGGGAGGGGTTGATGTAAATGTGTGGGTTAGCGTCGTGTGACGTCTAAAACCCAGCTGTAGTCCCAATCGAGTCGTTTTTGTAGGCAATATACTTCCTGATTTTTAAAAGACGATATCTCTGCTTACACTGAAGTTTCAGCGCTGCAACTTTGCAGATAGTGTTCATGCACCAACAGCAACATTACACACTATTTAAAATGAAAAAAAGTGAAATCGCAGTCAACCCCTAGGTGTTATACTAAATGAATATGTCAAGTGAAGTGAGTCCTGTGTTCGCTGCTCGGTGTGTATTATTGAGCAGTGAGCAGTGTCGCACATTACACATGTAATATTTCAGCCCATTCTCACTCCCAAGGCGTCACCCAACTGACGCCTTGGGAAGCATTTGACCATGCTTCAATATCTGACGCTTTAGGCGCCCTTTAGCGTCAGTTAGATGACGCCCTAGGATCGCGTGTACCCTACCCCCACCCCATACCTAAACCTAACCGCGTCCTCTAACTGACGCTTTCCTTTAGCGTCAGTTAGATGACGCCGTAGGATCGCGTCATGTAAGTGACGCTAAAGGGCGCCTAAAACGTCAAATATTGAAGCATGGTCAAAGGTGACGCCTTGGGGTGAGAATGTGTTGAATATTTTACACAATTCAGACTTCAAGCTGTTACTGTTGACCAAATGACATTTGTTGGAAACTTGACTCGCATATATACAAAGAGCTTTAGCCGAAGCGTTTTGTGTCATGAATCAGTGCCAGTTAAAACCCTTCTACAGATTACGCGTCAGCTCTGTGCTTGGACAAAGCTTCTCTTCATTAATGTCGCTGTGAGCTGCTTTTGGTCTTTATGTCCTCAGACTGTACTTCAGTGCTTTGCTGCAATCAGATTGTCTTTGTTCCGTTATTGTTTTCATATCTGCTTGAAAAAAAGGCCCTTTATGTAATATTTGAATCTTCAGTGATATCTCATGTTTGCACTGGATTGTAGATGTTGGATATTTTCGAGTGGTTCAGGTTATTTAGTAGGTGCTGTTCCAGACAGTGTTCAATTCCTCAAAATCAGATGACTGACTTCCCCTTTTTAAAATATCCAGAGCTAGACTAGAGTCATTACCCTGATCTGTTGATCGATTTTAGTTTTTATTTTACAACGTGATCATTTCATAACCGCCATCTGCTCTTGAAATGTTATCGATGAATCCCCCTTTACTGCCTATTTGGTATCTCCTGGTATGACACTGGTCTCTGTAGCCACGTGGTAGAGCTGGTGACAGGGAGGATCAGCTGTGCCAGTCCCTGCAGGCTTGTCTCTCTAGTACACACACACACACACACACACACACACACAGGTCTCCTGGCAGTGCCAGCAAAGAGCGTGAATCGTCACTCGCTCCCACAGCGTCCTCTGCCTCCTCTCTTTTTCCTAGTCGACACGACACAAATTACAAACGGTTGTTTTCTCAGCAATCTCTGGATCGAAATTACGTCTGTAACAACGAGGGATGCTTGCAGAGCACCGGGAGAACAGTAGGTATGGGGAAAAAACATGTTTAATCAGTGTCTCCATGGTGACAAGGCGTTTGTTTACAGTTTGGAGCCGTGTGTCATGGGTTTATTTGCTGCGATGGTGGTCCTGAAATGGCTTCTTACTTTCTTCGGAGGCTTCTGGCAGCGCTTCGGTTAGAGAATCACTTATTTTTGAATGCCACGTGAGATTCTTGTATAATCAAAGGCATTTGAAGGTATAACAAATGACAGATGGCACTGGCACAGCTAGTGAAGCGATTGTGGCGTTTCTCCCGAAGGAATGGTGGTGTGGAGCAACAAGAGGTTGCTCAGACTTTCAGATGTGAGAAGGGGTTAGATTTAATTTTTTCTGAAGTAATAAGCTGCTTACACTGTGCACTGTGGGCGTAAATGTTTTCATCACTGCTTCATCCTGGCAGTCATTCTTTTCGGAGAATTGTGACTGATTTTTGAAGACTCCAAACACCTGGTTTCCGGCTGCTCATTGCGAATCAGGTCAAGACACGTTTGAAACCAAGGGCTTCATTAGACTCTGACTCATTTAACGCTGTTTACACTGGAAGGGCGCTTGACTTCAAGAGATAGATGTTGATTTGGTGTGAGGTAACCAGTGATGGTGGTAAATATTAAGATCATTATTTTGGACCATGTCACTTCAGCTTGTTACTGTTCACAGTTATTATGTCACCTGTTTATGTCATCCTTCCCAGATTTAAACAGTCATTAACTGACTTTTAAGAAGATTTTACCTAAATGGGGACTACTTTGCAGGACAAAAAGTTGTATTATCTTTGTTCATGTTTAAAGATGACCTAAAGGTTTCAGTCTAGATAAGTAGTAGGTCGTCAATCATCAGGTTGGCGTTGGAATGCTCAATTACTGCTGTCTAGCCTGCATGATGTCACCTGTGTTGAGATGAATTCCACTGGAGATTCTTACTATACTCCATTTAGAAACAATATCAACATTGCAACTTTATTTTCAGTAAACTTGTTTGCCTTTGTACTGGTTTTGTTGAGTGTTGCATCTCTTATTGTATTGATATTCTTCTTGAATTGAGCACTGCATGCATTTCTTGTTGACTCTTGACTGAGGTTTAGAAGTGCTTGACGTGTATTGCGCAAGTATAATTAAACTAAATATTGGAGGTTGCTTAGATTCAAAAGTTATGTTCTTGGCGACTTGCAAGAACTTAAAAATTATAAATGTGGTAATTCGTTGCTATTGGTAAATCTGTTATGAAATGGCAATCCCAACAACCTTGAAATAGTACTCTAATGTTTAAAGGTTTGGTTAGTTAGATTTCTTTAATTGTTTTTTTGTTTTTGTGAAATAAATTCATTCAGAAAGTATGTATGAATGTATTAAGCTGATTTATAATGTTACAATATTTATTCTTTTGAACTTTCTATTCATCAAAGAATTCTGAAAAAATGCTCCGTTTCCACAAAAATATTAAGTTATATTAAAATATGAACGAACTATCAATAAGATAGTTGATAATAAATAAGAAGAAGAAATGTTACTTGAGCACCAATCATCAGATTTCTGAAGGATCATGTGACACTGAAGATTAATGTCTGCTAAAAAGTTAGCTTTGTATTAGTTAGCTTTAAGTACTGCACTCTCAGTCAGGTCATTTTTCCTTGTGTGTCTGCTGCACGAGTTTTGCACATGAGCCGCACGTGCCTCAAAACTACGCACTTAATGATAACCTTGCTTAATCGACCACCGACAAATTTATTGACGATTAATCATTATTGACAAAACAATTAATCAATCGTCATTTAATCATAGACATCCGTAGTAGGAACTCGGAGGTTAAATGTGTTCAGGATTCCAGTGGGCTGTTTCTTATCGAGATGGCTGACGCTGTCCCCTGTTGTTGACTTGTTGCCTCTAGTCAGTGGGAAATGTTCCCCTCACTTCTGCATTTCCATCACCCATAACAATAGCAGAAATGTGGGGTTTGTGTTTACATCACTCAATATTCCCAAGAGTCTTTGAAAGGCTTTGAGAAGGCTGAAGCGATGCCTTTTTTTCCCTCTTCGAACAGTCCTTTGGAGCTTACTTTGTTTTCACAGACAGTCATTGGTGCTGGCAGCACTCTAAGAAATGCCATGAAAGACTTAAAGCGTAAAAGGCTTAGCCACATTTTACTGAAGATTTCATGTCCCAGCAACCTTACTCCCAACCGATTTACATCAAATCTGCCTCTGTGTGTCCCAAGGCAGGATTATTCATTGAGGAAGGTCACATACTGTAGACTAAGGTGAATTAAAACATTTTTTTTTTTCATTTTTGAAACACCTGTTAACAATTATAATTCATGTTACACTTTTTACTGCATCCACTAAAGCGTGTTTTATGTTCAAACACAAAAACACAGTCTACAATTGTAGTGGCGGACAGTTTATTTCATGATAAATAAAATGAAAGACATGTCAATAAAATGAAGGGCAAAATGAATTTGGCAGGCAGCGCAGTGTTCGCTTCCCTTAAATGGTGTCTTTCAAACGCTGATCCTACCAATTATTCTCTATGGATCTGAAACATGGACCCTGCTCAAGATGGATTTGACCAAACTTGAAGTTTTCCAAATGCGATGCCTACACCAGATCCTGGGAATTTCAATTTGTGACTGTTTTCGATGATTGGGTTGCAAAACCACTGTTGACTGTTGGCCACGTGAGAGAAATGCTGAGCTTTTTTTTTTGTTTTACACAGGGCACAAGGCTTTTTTAAATTACATTTATCTCACCTAAATGTAAGCTCAAGCAAATGTAGGCTATTTGGGTTTTACCATGGGGTAATTTTGTTTGTCACATGAAATGCATGCATGAGACCACAAGGAAACTTGATTTCAATCTTTTATTGAATTTACAAAAAAAAAAAACAAGAACAAACAAACAAGTTACAAGCTGAAGTACGAATTAATAAAATACAAATGATAAGAGTTTTTTTTCTACAAATGCTTTATAGTTTTTCAGGTTGGTCTAACAGTATTTAGGCACAGGAGCACTATTTGAATATATTGAATGTTTTATGATATAAATTGAATATAGATGAATTCTTCTCCCTATCTTTTGTTCTTTTATTAACATTAATGACAGACAGCTGCAGGTTTATTACATTGCTTTCACTTTAAGCACTAGTGCAGGGATTCAATGTACTGATACACATGTGTTTTCTTTCTACTATTTACGTTCACTTAAGACATCACCCACTAGGGATTGGAATTGATAAGAATTTAACGATTCCGATTCCATTATCAGTATTTCTTATCGATCCGATTCCTTATCAATTCTCTTATAGATTCTCATTTAGTAAGGGAATAAGGACAAATTTGTTTGTTTGTATTAACTCGCTTTAATATCTGATCAGAAGACACAGCACAGAGTAAACACAAATTATGTGCTGCAACCATCATTTATAACAATTATCAATCAATCAATTTTATTTATATAGCGCTTTACAACAACCAGAGTTGATCAAAGCACTGGACAGGGGAAAACAAGTACAGGACAGAAAAAAAATACAAACAATACAATACAAAAAATAAAATTAGCTACAATAATCTTACGCAGTCCTCTTCGTCTTCTCCATCCTCTTCTTCTGCCTGCCCCTGTGTCTCTCTTGGCTCTGACAGCTTGAGAAGAAATTTACGTTGTAAGAAATGCAAAGCAAGAAGAAAAGGTCTCACAACAGACATATGCTAAAGGCATTGTCAAATTCAAATACCTTCTCAACTGCCTTTGTGTTTGCTGCCACTGCTGATGCCCTGACCCTTTCCCAGATTTCATCATCCCTGTTCATTTAAATCTGGGATCTAACACAGTGGCTTCCTCCAGGAATGCCTGGATATCATCATCATCCTTAAGTTTAAAATGGAGGACAAACAACACAAATTTAGAAGAAAATGTGAATGACAATAAATAACCATTAGTGTTTTTGATTAATTGTCATATAGAAAGTCATCATTACATGACAGTGACTCTACCTGGTAACATTCGGAAAGATCATTCCAGATGTTCTCCTTGATGCTCATGATGAATGCAGAGTCTGTCTGCACTCTGTAATGTATGTGCTGTTTCTGAAGAATGGACAATATCTGGCCACAGCCCACAGGTTGGACTTTTTTTCGCTTGAGACAGCAAGTGTGGCACACACTCCTCTGGCACAAGGTCCTCATTGCCCATTCTGGACAGTCTGCAACATAAACAAAACAAAAAATGGCTATTGCCTTAGTCAACCAAATTTGATATAAGTCATTTTATTTTATTTTTTTTTTCAAACATGATTTACTTTTCCTTATCCATGGGCTTTCTAAACTGTTGGTCTATATAGCTGCTGCTTGGATAGCAGGAAACTGTTCACAAAATCTCTCCATAATCAAATACAGAGAGTTCCATCTCGTCCTCACATCTAAAAGGAGCATGCTGGGGCAGCTCTGCACACAGATTATGAGATTACATTAAACAATGTAATATTACATTACTTTATCATTTTTAATTGATCCTAATCTCTGTTCACTTATGTTACACTATAAAAACACTTTTTTAGTGAACTTTACTTAATGTCTTAACTTAACTGTAAAAAACTAGTAATGTGTACTATTCACACAATAGGCTTTGTTTACTCAGAAACCCAAGTCAAGATTAATTGATGTTTAATTGAGTGTGTTTTTTTTGAGATGGGAAAAATCTTAATGGAGTTTTCACTCATTTCCTCATTCTGCAGTTATTTTTCTGTTTGCATTCACTCATTTCCCAAAGTCATCTTGAATGTTGAATTTGTCAATACACCAAAAAAATTGAGAGAACATCACATAAGGTGATTTCATAAATTGATGTTGATTTTCCTTAAAATGTTTTAGTCACCACCATTATGATGATTAGTGTTCCCTTTGGTTGGGCACTTGACTCTTCATTTATACTATTTATAAAATCTCTTCCCATATAATGAGGCTCGCTTGTACAGATGATGAGGTGCTGTGAAGCCTTGTGCGCATTTTGAAAGTGAAAGAAAAGATGCAGTAGCGTTCAATCACTCTCGCTGTTTGTGAAATTATGTCTCTCAGAAAGTTTTAAAATTACTGATTTGATAATCTGTGTCGATTAATTTGTTCATTAAACCAGCTAATTGAATAAATGTTTGTGGGAATTTCCTGCCTTAAAAGTGTGAAACCTGCAGTGATGTATAAACTGATGCACAATACCCACAATCCTGGGCCATGTGTGGCATTTTAACAACTTTAATTGCTCAAGTTTGGTCTGCTTAGATGAATGGACAGTTTTGGATTATTATTAAAGGGTTGACGTTCCAAGCCCGTAAGACCTCCGTTCATCTTTTGGAACACATTTCAAGATATTTTAGATTTAGTCCGAGACCTTTCTGTGCCTCCATTGTATGTACGCTATACTGTCCTTGTCCAGAAAGGAAATAAAGACATCATCAAAGTAGTCCATGTGACATCAGTGGGTTAGTTAGAATTTTTTTCAAGCATTGAATTCTCAATGCTGAATAAAGTTGTAATTTTTGTTATTTTTGGACCAAAAAGTATTTTCAGTGCTTAAAAAAATTCTAACTGACCCACAGATGGTCACATGGACTACTTTGATGATGTCTTTATTTCCTTTCTGGACAAGGACAGTATAGCGTACATACATTTTCAATGAAGGGACCGAAAGCTCTCTGACTAAATCTAAAATATCTTAAACTGTGTTCCGAAGAATGAACGAGGTCTTACGGACTTGGAACGACATAAGGACATAATGACATCATTAATGACATAATTTTCATTTTTGGGTGAACTAACCCTTTAAAACAATTTTACTGAATCACAATGCCATAAAATATTTCATGTGGTCTTAGCAGACACATTAGAATAATAATAATAACCATTTGTTACATGGAACAATTTCCAAAAATTAAGGACCCGGATACAGAGCAGGTATTTTTAGTTAGATGGATGCAGTCACTGTTGCTCTTGATCGTCTCATGTTTCCCTCCTTCAAGTGTTGCTGACTTTCTCAGTGGCTGTAGTTGTCTGCGATTGTTCCCGTCTAAGAATCTGCTTCAACTCACAGATGTTAAGCTTTTTGCTAAGGACATTGCTGAAACAACATACATTTTTTATAACAGCACCTAACTGGCTCAAGCAAATGTCTGTCAGATGCGTGTCCTATTTTCCATGTGCTCGCCAGCTTCAGCAGATGATGTAAAGTTCTTTGGTAGTTTCTTTGTTTTCCCTAAATTCTGTAACCATTACCCAGTTGGATCTGATTCATGACTCACTGCGTGGAGCACAGCAAGACATAGGAAGATAACCGTTTGTCAACACGGTTTGCCCAGGAAGCAATGCTTGATCACAGGAAATAAAATAAATAAATGATGATAATAATAATAACTGAAAGAAAACAGAATTGATCATTTTTATGAAGTATACCAATAGCACAGGTTGACAGCTGTCAAGACCTATTTGTGGTAAAAAAAAAAAAAAAGTGATAAAAATGGTCTGTACAGATGTATACAAATATTGTTGCTTTATACTTGGATATTTAGTTTGGCTTTATCACCGTGTCCTTGAAATGAACACGAATAATATCTTGGATCCAATTTTGTTTGCATGTCCTGCAGTATTTCTGTACCTGCAGCAGAATCTTCACTAGAGGAACTCAGACAGAAGCAGTTCACTGCAAAAAATAAATAAATAAAATAAACAGGCTGAATTTGATCTGCAATTTGAAGCTAACATATCACGTCACATTAGAAGTGGACTTTCACAGTCGACGATCAATTTCCCTGACATCTTGTTATTTTTCCCCCTCTTCACCCTCCCCTTTTCATTTCCTCCATTTCACGAAACCTCTTTTATCTGTATGTCTGCTCTCTTAGGGCTGGCTTCGGCCTCAAGAAGCCTCTAAGGATGAATATGGTGAAGAGGATCATGGGGAGGCCGCGGCAGGATGAGTGCAGCCCGCAGGACAACGCGCTGGGACTCATGCACCTGCGCCGCCTCTTCTCCGAGCTCTGCCACCCGCCGCGCCATATGACACAAAAGGAGCAGGAGGAGAAGCTCTACATGATGCTGCCTGTTTTCAACCGGGTGAGAGAGAGAGAGAGAGAGCTGTTTACTTAAAGAGACAGCATCATCACCTAATATGCATCAGGATAATGCGATTTATGTATAAGAGGCGGACTGAATGTAGAGGGATTCACAAAGATGCAGCCTCTCAAGTCAAAATGCATTAAGACAAGTGTAATAGACACGATTGTATTGCATTGCTGATGCTAAATGTAACCCGTGGTGATTTTTCTTTCTTTCTTTTTTTGTTACCATTAAACAACAGTTTAGTGGAGTGACGAGACAACAACAGCAGGATTATCCCCCCCTGAAAAAAAATAAATCCCCCTAAATTTTTACACTATTGTTCACAAGTTTGTGGTCTGTAAGAATTTTCTGGGGGAGAATTTAATACTTTTATTCAATAAGGATGCATCAAATTGACCAAAAGTGATAGCAAAGACTTATATTTTTGCAGAAAAATTATTTTACAAATAGATTCTGCTCTTTTGAACGTTGTATTCATCAAAGAATCCCCAAAAAATATAAACAAAAATATATTTTTAATAAGTACTCTTTTTAACATTAATAATTATAGAAATATTTCTTCAGCACCAAATCAGCATATTAGAATGATTTCTAAAGGATCATGTGACACTGAAGCTGAAAATTCAGCTTTGATCACAGGAATAAAATACATTTTAAAATGTATTCAAATAGAAAACAGTAATTTTAAATTGTTATATTTCACTATGTTATTATTTGTACTGTATTTATGATGCATCTTTCAAAAACAGAGAAAATCTTACCAACCTTAAACTTTTAAAAAGGTAGTGATTATGTATATGCCACAATCAGTCAACTGTATATTGTTTGAAAGCAAGAACATTAAAAAAAAAATCTTCTTTTATTTTTAAACCACTATAGAGTTTTTTTTGTTTTTGTTTTTTCAAAACCTGTCATTAAACCAAATTGTCCACACTTTGATTTTGATGTTAACCTAAACAATGTGATGAAGTGAACCAAAAGTGATTACTTCATTTACAAAGGCTAAGTAGTCGTTATGACATCAAGTGACTCTCACAGGCTGGAGAAGAGCATGATGGTGCTGCTAATCATCCAGCATTGATTATGCAGAAACACTGCAGATGACCTCATCATTGTGCACGAAAGAGCGCTGACCTGCTGTAGAGGCACTTGTAGAAGTGGGATGAAACATGCTCTCTATTTACAAAGCTGTCATACTTCATTAAACGATGCAAATCAGAATTAAAACCACAGTGTCTCAGATTTTAATTTCTTTAAACAGCGAGATGGCTGACATTAGATTTAAGCATTGCAGTCTTGTGCCTCTTATGAATGTTTGTGGTTTATACAAATTTGATTGGACACTCAGCCTGTGAGCCAAATGCTGAACAAGAGCAGTTTTCAGAGCTCCTGTGAATGTCTTATCTTTGCTGCAATGAAAGATGAATAACTACAAACCGAGCACACAGCTCTTTAGACATCAAGGGAGCGATTGCTTATTAAATCTCAGCTTTAACTCAACAGGTCCCCATGTTTGTAGAGGAGAAAAAAGGACAGCATGAAAAGAAGGTTGTTTGAGCTCTGTAAATGGTGTTTGTGTGTGTGACAGGTGTTTGGGAACGCTCCACCGAGCTCCATGAATGAGAAGTTTTCAGACCTACTGCAGTTCACTACGCAAGTGTCCAGGTTGATGGTGACTGAGATCAGACGGAGAGCGTCTAATAAATCAACAGGTACTTCAACTATCTATTTCCTGTTTGTTGTCCTATTTTTAGTTTAACTGCTTCTATTGTTCTCATTTGTAATTCGCTTTGGATAAAAGTGTCTGCTAAATGAATAAATGAAGAGTTCAGATGCAAAAGCCTCTAAGTGCCATTTGAAATTTTCTTCTAGAATGATATTTTTTTTATCAAGCTTGTATATTGAAGTTCAGTGATTTCACTTAAATGGCAATGATAATTACCTATTAATTGTTATTTAAGTGAAATTACTGAAATTAAATATACAAGTTTGATAAAAAATCATCATTAAAGAAGAAAATTTCAAATGGCATTTAGAGGCTTTTGCATCTGAACTCTTCAAATATAAATGATATGTTATACCGATCCAATCAACTCCCGATGGGTTAAAACTAGTCTCACCTATTTTTTTTCTCATTTTAATGCATTAATTAATTCATAAATTAGCATATTATGAATGTTAAATTGATTGTTATGTAATTAAATATTTTATTTTTTTATTTTTAAAAGCGATTTTAATCAAAGTTTTGTGATTTTTAACTTCTTCATTTTCAATAAGTTTTTTTAATAAATAAATATTTGTATAGAAATTACATAGACATAAGAGTGTTGATCTGGACAAACTTTATGCCAAATACTTGTGATCAACCAAAATTTAAGTTTTTATAACCGAAAACCGAAAAAAAAAAATATTTAATAAGCAATTCATGCAATAATAAACACTCAAACTGAGTTATAGAAACGTTTAAATTGCATAAAAAAGCCGGTTTTTATATTAACTTTTTAATAACACAACACTTGACAATTTGGTATGGTCTCATTTGTTACAGCATTTATTATCCTTTGTTAACATTAGCTCATTTCTTGCTTTAATAGCTGTGTTTATGACTGAGGAAGACTGGGCTTGGTCTCAGAGTTACTCTGCTGTCCACACACTGTGTTGGCAGCTTGTCTTGGCACATAATGTACTGTAATGTTTATTTCTTGTGATGTAATCTGCATATGCTGCATAGATTCACTAAACCCGCACCAAGCATGTCTTGAAACGAGTAATTGCTTAACTGTTTCAGTTGGTTTTATACCCTCTATTAAACATCTTGTGTTTAACACTTGCTTTTTTTCAAACTGTAGTCATAGCAAGTAAGCATAACGTAATAATATTGTATTTATTCTGTATGTCAAATTTATTGTATTTTTAATGACTATGGATTTTACAAAATCATAAAATTACATTTTTGTTGGAGCAGAAAATAGTTTTCTTCTGAGTAAATCTTGTCCTTTGTGAATTCACTGGGGTGTCACAGTATTGTATCTCAAAATGAGGCAGCAATGGATGAATGAGAAATGAAACCGCCTGCATGTCATCACCTCTAATTGACTCCGCGTCCTTCCCCAGATGAGGCCAGTCACACACTAGCTGACGTGTGAAAATGGATTTGATCCACATGCACAGACTGTTAAACACGTCAGTGATTCTGGTTGTGTGTGTGTGTGTGTGTGTGTGTGTGTGTGTGCTCCTCCCACAGAGGCGGCCAGCAGAGCCATTGTCCAGTTTCTGGAGGTAAATCAGAGCGAGGAGGCGAGCCGTGGCTGGATGCTTCTGAACACCATCAACCTGCTGGCCTCCTCAGGACAGGTCTGTATGTTTAATGTGCATCAGATGAAACAATCACAAAATGCATGAAACATGAAAACAAATTTGATTAGCACTAGAAAAATATATACAGATACAGTATTTATTTTTATTTTTTAAAGAAGTCTGTAATGTTCACCATGGTTACATTTATTTGATCAAAATATAGTAAAAACTGGAATATTGTGAAATAATATTACAATTTACATTAAATTTTATTTTGAATTGAAAATATTTTAAAATGTGATTTATTCATGTATCGTAATGGCAACGCTGAATTTTCAGCATCATTACTCCAGTCTTCAGTGCCACATGATCCCTCAGAAGAAATATGAAATTGAAATATGCTCAAGAAACAATTCTTAATATCAATGTTGAAATCAGTCGTGCTGCTGAATGTTTTTTGGTGGAAACTGGGATCATTTTTTAAAGAATATTTTGACGAATAGAGAGATCAAAAGAACAGCATTTATTTTGTTTTTATTTAGCCATTATTTTCCTTTTATTTTGGCATTACGTGGCTTAGAAAACCCACCCACATCGCTTGGATTCCAGTTTACATTTACCCACATTTTATCTTTCTAGAAAACAAAACAAAAAAAAAATCCTAGAACTTTATGTGAATTAGTTTGATAAAATACATCATGAAATATAATCTCACCTGAGTACAGGAGCATTGGAGCTACAATTATCTTCAAGCCAATCTGTGCAGGTTAAGAAGTTAAAGTGATAGTTCACCCAGAAATATATTTTTTCATCATTTACTCTGCCTCATGTTGTTCCAAACCTTGGAACTTGGTTTCTTTCCTCTGTTGAACACACACAAACAATTATACCAACATTAACAACCAGACAGTTGATGGTAGCTATTGACTTCCATAGTATGTTTTCCCTACTATGAAAGTCAATGGCTACAGTCAACTGTTTGATTACCAACATTCTTTAAAATATATTTTTCGTGTTCAACAGAAGAAAGAAACTCATACAGGTTTTGAACAACAAAACAATGTTTAGTGTATGATGCACTAGAATGATGCCTAGTGTTTTAAAATCTGTTCAGAGTTGAAAAGTCATGTAGTGTATTCCAGTCTTAAGCAGAACAGTTAGGACATTCAGAACATTCAGCATGATCAATGTGAGTCCAACTAGTGACAATGGAAAACTAAGCATCGGCTTGGTGTTCCACATCCTTCAAAGTTTTCAGCTACCATGTATTAAAAGATAAACAGCATTGTGTTTGGAAATCAGCCATCCTAGGTTGGTCTTTCAGCACCCAGCACTTGTCCATACTAGAAAAATGTGTGATTTGTTGAACTTGTGGATGGTAGTTTCACAGCTGAACAAGACCCCTTATCTCAAGTTACACAAGTCTCTGATTTCAGGGATGGACACTGTCTTTTCCTAGACTGAGAGACTGGAGAACCTTGTGGAGGCCGCCAGGACTAGTTTAAATTTCCTTAAGTATGTTTTTAGTCAATTTTGGACTTGATCAAGAGCAGGAAAGAGGAATACTCACTCTATAGTGAAAGATGGCTTCTCCAACAATGCTTGCACAAGTCTTGCCTTCCCACTTACCCACTGCTGGTGTGACGATGTAAGGATGGTGTCATGGATTTCTCAAGCTGTTGATGGCTTAAGCCTGGACAGCTTGAGGCCATGACCACCAAGTCATGGGTCACTTTATGAAGGCCTGTTTGAAGGGAACTTTGTGAAAAGGCGTGAACAGTTGCACTCAACATAAATGATCTCCAATTACTAGTTGTTTATTTTCTCCCCGAAGCACTTCCTCTCTGTACTGAGTGGCCAAGGTGTTGCGATCAAACAGACAAATTCCTGTCATGTCATTCATTAGATGACTGATCCTGCTCTCATCTAAAGCTCTTCAGAGGTATTTCAAGCTCTTGATGTCAGTCACCTTAGAGGTGCGGATTTCCTGTCCAGGGCAGGTCATTGTGTCAGGGAGAGTTGACTAATTGCCCAAAGGGTTTCTCAGATTTTGGAGCACTTTGGAAATGCCAATGCAGATTTTATGCATAACAAGGAGAATATATTATATACGATGAAGTCTATTCATTAGCAGCATGTGCTTTTCAATATCTTTTTTAGTGCATTGTGGGGGCTACAGTATATCCATGTCATGTAGTGTGCTTACTCTGTAACAAGGGAATGGTTACATCATTGGCAGAGTATCATTACATCAAGGGCTGTCTGTGGATGTCCCATAGTCTTAGTAGTTGTATTGACGGAATGAGAATGTTGTTGCTACTGTTCCCACAAGAATGGAAGCCCTTCTAATAAGATCCTTTATGAAGAGGGCTGTGGCAGTACCATGGTACAGCGATGGTCATGATATTCACATGGTACATTTCTTATTATTATCAGTGTTAAAGGGTTAGTTCACCCAAAAATGAAAATTCTGTCAGTATTTACTCAACCTCATGTTGTTTCAAACCTCTATGTGTTTATTTGTTCTGCTGAACACAAAGGAAGATATTTGGAAGAATGTTTTAATCAAACAGATCTCATTCCCCATTGACTACCATAGTAGGAAAAAATACTACTATGGTAGTCAATGGGGAATGAGATCTGTTTGATTAAAACATTCTTCCAAATATCTTCCTTTGTGTTCAGCAGAGCAAATAAACACATAGAGGTTTGGAACAACATGAGGGTGAGTAAATACTGACAGAATTTTCATTTTTGGGTGAACTAACCCTTTAAATAGTCAGTGTTATCAGTTGTGCTGATTAACGTTTTTGTGAAGACCAAAACAACAGTGTTTATTTGAAATCAAAATATTTTTGTATTTTATGGATCCTTCCTGAATAAAAGGATTAACTTCAAGGGGAAAAATGTCTTACTGACCTAAACCTTTGAACGGTAGTGTACATGCTATTATAATTAGACATCTATGTTCTTGTGTCCTTGTGATTTTAAGGTTATTTTTATGTAGTATCTCATCCGACTTAATTGGCTTAAGTTTAGCCAACACTCAAATCTCCCTCAACTCTGTTGTTAGCCACAGTTCTAATATTTATTTTGGTTCATATAATCCCTCGAGAAGAACTTGTGCACAAAAATATGGAATGCAGACTTGTAGATTTCCTGTGTCCTTTCTCTTACTCGCACTGTCTATTCTTTTTGGTTTACGCGGAATACATAATGAAAACACGTTCTTGTGTTAATGTTGATATCTCTTTGCTGCTCTTTGAAGCAGATAAAACACATTTCCACCATCTAAATGCAGACCTCTTGGAATGCTTTTCCAACTGATTTGGCACAATTTAGGGCTTGTAATAAAACTGGATGAGTTTGAATTGCACGATTTTCTTTCCAGGCAGTAGTCTGGTTTTGAGAGGTGAAACATGTTGAAACATGAGGGGTGAAATATGTTTGTATTCCAAGCTGTGAGTTGGAGACAAAAACTGGTGCTCTTGGCAACACCCCCCGCCCCTCAGAAACAACAAAGGTCTTTTCTTTTCTCTCTGTAAGGACGCCCTTCATGCTCTACATTCCCAATGCACCCTCATTTCACCCTCACGGATGCCGTCTCTTGTCTCTTCTTTTCCCCCCTCTTGCATTGATGCCTGTGAGAAATCCTCCTGCTCTGTCCCTCTTCTATTGGTGTTTTCTGTCTGACATCATCGTTAATGTCCACCGACTTGACTTCACACTGTATGCCTGCGTGCTGAGGTAAACTACCACAGAGCAAGCTATACCAAGCCTTGACCATCTACCATATCCGGGGCTTTATGGAGTCCAACTGTGGATTTTACATATGGATATTTTGCCTATGAGGCATTATTAATGTAACCTGCCTTAATTATTCTTAACTCTTATTTGAATGTAAAAAGCCATTAATTTTTACTAAAGAGAGGGTGATTTGTTTTGACTGAGAGAGTGGGTTTGGTTTATTTTTATTTTTTTCAATGAAAATGCAGAAGTGATGAGTCTCTTCTGTTTTGCTGTCTCATTCTTATGAAGGCAGTGAGTGTAATGGAACCTCCATTACAAAGACCCATTCACAACAAGAAAGTTAACCACCCTATAAATTAATACTTTTATTCAACATTCAATTGGTCAAAAGAGACATTAAATAAAAAATATCTGTTTCAAATAAATGCTGTTCTTTTAACGTTTTTATTCATCCTGAAAAAAATATGTATGATTATTAATTTCTACCAAAATGAGAATTGTTACTTGAGAGCTTTGGAGCGTTAATAATGGCCATTTCTGATCGATTGTGGGGAGACATGTTTGTGTGTGGTATCCTGTGCACACACTGGTTCAGACTGGATTTGCAGTGAAAAAAAGTGTTTGGGCAATACATGTGTGTGAGAGAATCATTGGCTCGATTGAGCTAAATCCTATAACTTCCTGACTGCCTTAAAAGCGTCTGATGGGATTTTATCCTCTCACTTCAGTGTTTCATTGGCACTGGTAACAGGATCCGGCTCTGATTAGTGTCAGAGGCGAGACTGCTTCAGGTGACATGGCAGGGAAAAGTGAAGCTGTGACCCACCCACCTGGAGCATTTCCTTTCAGTCACGTCCACCTGAGCCCCTTTAGAGCGGAGTGAGGATGAGGATGTCACAGGCCTACCATATGGTTATCAGGGTTTCACCTGAGACCCTGAAAAAACAATCAATACTTATATCCTCTTGCTTTTCATCAATTCACCTAATTTATTGTGGATTTAGACAACGATTTTTTTGTTTTTGTAAATTGAGTATTTACAAATCCGTTCACGAGTTTGGGGTCAGTTAGATCTGTGACCAGAATTGTGAAATATTAAACGGTTTGCCAGTTATTTGCATTAGACAGTGCTTGAATGGAGCAAAAAACATGATCTGCTCATCATCTGAATTTGAATCCCTCCCCTTCTCTGCTTCTGCAGAAAACTGTGGACTGTATGACCACCATGTCGGTGCCCTCGACGCTGGTCAAATGCCTATATTTGTTTTTTGACCTGCCCCACATGCCCGAGGTTCCTGCCGCTACCCAGACCGAGCTTCCTCTAGGCGACCGCAGAGCTCTTCTACAGAAAGTCTTTGTCCAGGTCTGTCTGTCTTTAGGAATAGCGTTTTCTCCACAAAATACCCATAAAAGACACACTTTGACACAAACCGTGAATTTCTCTTCTCAGATCTTAGTGAAGCTGTGCAGTTTCGTGTCTCCGGCAGAGGAGCTGGCCCAGAAGGATGATCTACAGCTGCTCTTCAGTGCCATCACCTCCTGGTGTCCCCCCCACAACCTACCCTGGAGGAAGAGCGCGGGAGAGGTGCTCACCACCATCTCCAGACACGGCCTCAGCGTCAATGTCGTCAAGTACATCCACGGTGATGATTTAACTATCAACTTCTTTCACTGTGGTTCTCTGCCGTTGCTGTGCATGGATGCATAATACTGATAATGTTTTACTGAACCCTAGTAACATTTTAACCTTACATAACCATTTAACTGTCACTATTGTGCGTTTAGTGTTATCAGAGGTTAATGTCTGGTGGTTGCATCTCTTGTCAGAAATTGCTTTGCAATTAATTGAGAGGCATTCAAATTTCAGCCCTTAAGAGTCTAATATAGAAAACAAACCTTTCTTTCTAACGCCACCTTTAAAGTATGTGAGTGTGGGTGTTGTTTAATTATTTTTATACCAAATGTATTGGTTTATGGCAAAAAAGTCCTTAGAAATTCTCAACCAACTTGACACTATTTGTTCTTGCAGAGAAAGAGTGCTTGTCGACGTGCATCCAGAACATGCAGCAGTCAGATGACCTTTCTCCTCTGGAGATTGTGGAGATGTTTGCTGGGCTTTCCTGTTTCTTGAAGGACTCCAGTGATGTCTCTCAGATACTGCTGGATGACTTCCGCATGTGTCAGGGCTACACCTTCCTCATAGATCTTATGATCAGGTAATTATTCATTGCACATTTAAATCTACATGGTTTAAATGTGAAGGTTAATGTCTGGTCATTGTCTAAATATAAACCCAGACAGGAAGATTTTGCAGTAATGATCAGATGACTGTACATTATCCCTCTTATTACATTGGCTCATTACCAAATATATATATGAAGAGTTCAGATGCAAATGCCATTTGAAATTTTCTTCTAGAATGATATTTTTTTTATCAAGCTTGTATATTGAAGTTCAGTGATTTCACTTAAATGGCAATGATAATTACCTATTAATTGTTATTTAAGTGAAATTACTGAAATTAAATATACAAGTTTGATAAAAAATCATCATTAAAGAAGAAAATTTCAAATGGCATTTAGAGGCTTTTGCATCTGAACTCTTCAAATATAAATGATATGTTATACCGATCCAATCAACTCCCGATGGGTTAAAACTAGTCTCACCTATTTTTTTTCTCATTTTAATGCATTAATTAATTCATAAATTAGCATATTATGAATGTTAAATTGATTGTTATGTAATTAAATATTTTATTTTTTTATTTTTAAAAGCGATTTTAATCAAAGTTTTGTGATTTTTAACTTCTTCATTTTCAATAAGTTTTTTTAATAAATAAATATTTGTATAGAAATTACATAGACATAAGAGTGTTGATCTGGACAAACTTTATGCCAAATACTTGTGATCAACCAAAATTTAAGTTTTTATAACCGAAAACCGAAAAAAAAAAATATTTAATAAGCAATTCATGCAATAATAAACACTCAAACTGAGTTATAGAAACGTTTAAATTGCATAAAAAAGCCGGTTTTTATATTAACTTTTTAATAACACAACACTTGACAATTTGGTATGGTCTCATTTGTTACAGCATTTATTATCCTTTGTTAACATTAGCTCATTTCTTGCTTTAATAGCTGTGTTTATGACTGAGGAAGACTGGGCTTGGTCTCAGAGTTACTCTGCTGTCCACACACTGTGTTGGCAGCTTGTCTTGGCACATAATGTACTGTAATGTTTATTTCTTGTGATGTAATCTGCATATGCTGCATAGATTCACTAAACCCGCACCAAGCATGTCTTGAAACGAGTAATTGCTTAACTGTTTCAGTTGGTTTTATACCCTCTATTAAACATCTTGTGTTTAACACTTGCTTTTTTTCAAACTGTAGTCATAGCAAGTAAGCATAACGTAATAATATTGTATTTATTCTGTATGTCAAATTTATTGTATTTTTAATGACTATGGATTTTACAAAATCATAAAATTACATTTTTGTTGGAGCAGAAAATAGTTTTCTTCTGAGTAAATCTTGTCCTTTGTGAATTCACTGGGGTGTCACAGTATTGTATCTCAAAATGAGGCAGCAATGGATGAATGAGAAATGAAACCGCCTGCATGTCATCACCTCTAATTGACTCCGCGTCCTTCCCCAGATGAGGCCAGTCACACACTAGCTGACGTGTGAAAATGGATTTGATCCACATGCACAGACTGTTAAACACGTCAGTGATTCTGGTTGTGTGTGTGTGTGTGTGTGTGTGTGTGTGTGTGCTCCTCCCACAGAGGCGGCCAGCAGAGCCATTGTCCAGTTTCTGGAGGTAAATCAGAGCGAGGAGGCGAGCCGTGGCTGGATGCTTCTGAACACCATCAACCTGCTGGCCTCCTCAGGACAGGTCTGTATGTTTAATGTGCATCAGATGAAACAATCACAAAATGCATGAAACATGAAAACAAATTTGATTAGCACTAGAAAAATATATACAGATACAGTATTTATTTTTATTTTTTAAAGAAGTCTGTAATGTTCACCATGGTTACATTTATTTGATCAAAATATAGTAAAAACTGGAATATTGTGAAATAATATTACAATTTACATTAAATTTTATTTTGAATTGAAAATATTTTAAAATGTGATTTATTCATGTATCGTAATGGCAACGCTGAATTTTCAGCATCATTACTCCAGTCTTCAGTGCCACATGATCCCTCAGAAGAAATATGAAATTGAAATATGCTCAAGAAACAATTCTTAATATCAATGTTGAAATCAGTCGTGCTGCTGAATGTTTTTTGGTGGAAACTGGGATCATTTTTTAAAGAATATTTTGACGAATAGAGAGATCAAAAGAACAGCATTTATTTTGTTTTTATTTAGCCATTATTTTCCTTTTATTTTGGCATTACGTGGCTTAGAAAACCCACCCACATCGCTTGGATTCCAGTTTACATTTACCCACATTTTATCTTTCTAGAAAACAAAACAAAAAAAAAATCCTAGAACTTTATGTGAATTAGTTTGATAAAATACATCATGAAATATAATCTCACCTGAGTACAGGAGCATTGGAGCTACAATTATCTTCAAGCCAATCTGTGCAGGTTAAGAAGTTAAAGTGATAGTTCACCCAGAAATATATTTTTTCATCATTTACTCTGCCTCATGTTGTTCCAAACCTTGGAACTTGGTTTCTTTCCTCTGTTGAACACACACAAACAATTATACCAACATTAACAACCAGACAGTTGATGGTAGCTATTGACTTCCATAGTATGTTTTCCCTACTATGAAAGTCAATGGCTACAGTCAACTGTTTGATTACCAACATTCTTTAAAATATATTTTTCGTGTTCAACAGAAGAAAGAAACTCATACAGGTTTTGAACAACAAAACAATGTTTAGTGTATGATGCACTAGAATGATGCCTAGTGTTTTAAAATCTGTTCAGAGTTGAAAAGTCATGTAGTGTATTCCAGTCTTAAGCAGAACAGTTAGGACATTCAGAACATTCAGCATGATCAATGTGAGTCCAACTAGTGACAATGGAAAACTAAGCATCGGCTTGGTGTTCCACATCCTTCAAAGTTTTCAGCTACCATGTATTAAAAGATAAACAGCATTGTGTTTGGAAATCAGCCATCCTAGGTTGGTCTTTCAGCACCCAGCACTTGTCCATACTAGAAAAATGTGTGATTTGTTGAACTTGTGGATGGTAGTTTCACAGCTGAACAAGACCCCTTATCTCAAGTTACACAAGTCTCTGATTTCAGGGATGGACACTGTCTTTTCCTAGACTGAGAGACTGGAGAACCTTGTGGAGGCCGCCAGGACTAGTTTAAATTTCCTTAAGTATGTTTTTAGTCAATTTTGGACTTGATCAAGAGCAGGAAAGAGGAATACTCACTCTATAGTGAAAGATGGCTTCTCCAACAATGCTTGCACAAGTCTTGCCTTCCCACTTACCCACTGCTGGTGTGACGATGTAAGGATGGTGTCATGGATTTCTCAAGCTGTTGATGGCTTAAGCCTGGACAGCTTGAGGCCATGACCACCAAGTCATGGGTCACTTTATGAAGGCCTGTTTGAAGGGAACTTTGTGAAAAGGCGTGAACAGTTGCACTCAACATAAATGATCTCCAATTACTAGTTGTTTATTTTCTCCCCGAAGCACTTCCTCTCTGTACTGAGTGGCCAAGGTGTTGCGATCAAACAGACAAATTCCTGTCATGTCATTCATTAGATGACTGATCCTGCTCTCATCTAAAGCTCTTCAGAGGTATTTCAAGCTCTTGATGTCAGTCACCTTAGAGGTGCGGATTTCCTGTCCAGGGCAGGTCATTGTGTCAGGGAGAGTTGACTAATTGCCCAAAGGGTTTCTCAGATTTTGGAGCACTTTGGAAATGCCAATGCAGATTTTATGCATAACAAGGAGAATATATTATATACGATGAAGTCTATTCATTAGCAGCATGTGCTTTTCAATATCTTTTTTAGTGCATTGTGGGGGCTACAGTATATCCATGTCATGTAGTGTGCTTACTCTGTAACAAGGGAATGGTTACATCATTGGCAGAGTATCATTACATCAAGGGCTGTCTGTGGATGTCCCATAGTCTTAGTAGTTGTATTGACGGAATGAGAATGTTGTTGCTACTGTTCCCACAAGAATGGAAGCCCTTCTAATAAGATCCTTTATGAAGAGGGCTGTGGCAGTACCATGGTACAGCGATGGTCATGATATTCACATGGTACATTTCTTATTATTATCAGTGTTAAAGGGTTAGTTCACCCAAAAATGAAAATTCTGTCAGTATTTACTCAACCTCATGTTGTTTCAAACCTCTATGTGTTTATTTGTTCTGCTGAACACAAAGGAAGATATTTGGAAGAATGTTTTAATCAAACAGATCTCATTCCCCATTGACTACCATAGTAGGAAAAAATACTACTATGGTAGTCAATGGGGAATGAGATCTGTTTGATTAAAACATTCTTCCAAATATCTTCCTTTGTGTTCAGCAGAACAAATAAACACATAGAGGTTTGAAACAACATGAGGTTGAGTAAATACTGACAGAATTTTCATTTTTGGGTGAACTAACCCTTTAACACTGATAATAATAAGAAATGTACCATGTGAATATCATGACCATCGCTGTACCATGGTACTGCCACAGCCCTCTTCATAAAGGATCTTATTAGAAGGGCTTCCATTCTTGTGGGAACAGTAGCAACAACATTCTCATTCCGTCAATACAACTACTAAGACTATGGGACATCCACAGACAGCCCTTGATGTAATGATACTCTGCCAATGATGTAACCATTCCCTTGTTACAGAGTAAGCACACTACATGACATGGATATACTGTAGCCCCCACAATGCACTAAAAAAGATATTGAAAAGCACATGCTGCTAATGAATAGACTTCATCGTATATAATATATTCTCCTTGTTATGCATAAAATCTGCATTGGCATTTCCAAAGTGCTCCAAAATCTGAGAAACCCTTTGGGCAATTAGTCAACTCTCCCTGACACAATGACCTGCCCTGGACAGGAAATCCGCACCTCTAAGGTGACTGACATCAAGAGCTTGAAATACCTCTGAAGAGCTTTAGATGAGAGCAGGATCAGTCATCTAATGAATGACATGACAGGAATTTGTCTGTTTGATCGCAACACCTTGGCCACTCAGTACAGAGAG